CGACTCTCTCCCTTCACCCCTCCCGTTCTTTCTCTCAAAGGGCAAAGCATTCTTGAACGATATTGAATTAACATTATCGATTGTGAATCAGAGTAATCGGCGTTGAATCAACGTAATTGACCTTGAATCATTATATGTTTTCTAAAAATCTGTGTTTCATATTGTACTAAAGTATAATGCCGTGTCAATCACCTCCAAAATTACCTTTATTACTTCTTTGAGTATATTGGTGTTCTATCTGTAAATTGTTTGTCATAGAGAAAATCAGTAGGAGCCGCTGTTCCTACTGATACATCAGAAATGATGTATGTTTTATGAATGTTGTAGCATCCTGTATACTTGAAGTGGTGCCCTAGGCAGCCAAGATAGATGTGTAGGGCGTCTGTGGTCCAGGAACTTTAGGCTTCTGCATCCTGGAAACACCCTACGAAGCTGAGACCGTTGTTCCTATCCTCTGTGGTCCAGGTTGTATAACCTACTGTATCCTGGAAAAGACTCCAGGCAGCCGAGACAGTTGTTCCCGGCGTCTGTGGTCCAGGTTCTGGAAATATTCAGGGAAAGTAATGAGGATGAGCGCTATATAAAGAGTGTCGAGGCTCTGTGACCATCACAACTGCAGCATGGCCCTCAAGGTACGGACTCCTGCCTTGTCATCACTGGTGGGCTCTGACCACTAACACTGTCTTCCTGTAACTCCAAGTATTGTCAAATCATCTACCCAATATTTTCAGGAAACGACTCCCTTTTCCAAAACATTTCACCAAAGTACTGTCGTGGCATTACTTCTCAGTACTCTTATGGCATGGATGGTCCTCAAGGTTTAAGAAACATTCATTTTAGAAACACAGTACACCAATAGTTATTAAATTTATCCAAAATATTATAATTCAGTATCATACCTAAATGACCTGAACCGCAGCAGTTTGACATGAGTGAGTGGTTAGGGATTCCAGGTGTAAAATATACATCAAGTCATATTAAATACTCATGTTTTCAGGAATTGATTATAGCGATGGTGATGGTGGTGGTGGTGGTGGCAGAGGACCTGGCTCCTGTGTACCATACCACACCATCATACCACACACCAGAGCCCTACCACCAGCCTGTGTCCTACCACCAGTCAGCACCCTACCACCAGCCAGCCTACCCAGAGGTGAGGCATGAACGTCACTAGAGATCCTTAATGAATCATAATGTTATATTACTGTGAACTTGTCTGTAAAATAAATGGTGTTTCTAATGGTACTTAAAAATCTTATTTGAACTGCGTTTATACTGGTTCCTTTACATTTCCAACTGTGTGTTTGATAAAATGATGTTTCTATCACCGTAGGTTCCTCCCAAATACACCTACAACTACGGTGTTTCTGATGGCTACACCGGCGTCAACTTCGGCCACTCTGAGGCCCGCGACGGCTACAAGACTGAGGGCAGCTACTCGGTAAACCTCCCAGACGGTCGCAAGCAGACCGTCAACTACGTGGACAATGGTGATGGTCTGGAGGCCCAGGTCACCTACAAGGGAGAGGCAAGACACCCTGAACACAGGCCCTCCTATCCTGCCCATCCATCCCCCTATCCCCCTCCACCTTCCCCTCCCTCAGAATATGTCTGAACTTGAACTTGCTCTGTTGGAATATTTGTTACTTGTTCTGCTGGAATATTTGTTACTTGTTCTGCTGGAATATTTGTTACTTGTTCTGTTGGAATATGTTTTATATCTGTTTCCAGATCCGTGTTGTTGATTAAATAAATTTAACTTTGCTGGCATCTCAAGTTTTACTGAGTGAAGTCTTTGGAAATTATCAAGTTTATTGATCATCATTATGAAGGGCAATATCAGCATTTCTTTCTAAATTAAATTTCAATATATTTTATTTCTTTTTAATATATAATAAAAAAATTAATCCAGAAAAATATACTCTGTATTTTTTCGGTTGAGATATAATTTTTGTTTGGAACAAGATAGTACTCACTTTAAAATATTTAAAATTCTTAGTCATACTCACCAAGTTCAGTTAAAAAAAACATGAAGTCGAATTTGTTATCAAAGAAATTTATGAAAATAAAAAGTTATAACTATCCTGAAACCTTACAAATGTTGACAAATACACAATGATATCACATTAAATTTGTGTATCAATATCAGTAGAAGTATCATTGAGTATCAGTAGGAGTATCATTGAGTATCAGTAGGCGCCGTGAGGAAGATTTGAGCCCTCCTCACGACATCTACTGATTCTCTCGCAGTAATATAGTTACCTTGTGTGAGATACTAACAATTATCACAACCTAAGGTAATGAGATTTACAACTTTGGTTTAAAGTTTTACCCAGCAGAAAATTTTGCAATAATGCAGGACCAAGAATGATCAGCCAAGCATAGACGTTGATCATTAGTCTTTGATATAAACTAACAGGCTTCCTGTCTCTGACTATGCGATACTACGTAGATTACAATCTATATTTACCATGCAAAAGCAAAATTAATAAGATTTCTATATATCTTTGGCTTCTGAAGCTTCAATTGTTAAACAATAATTAACTCGGTGAGGATTCACTGTAATCTGTAATTTCTCATTAACATTGATTATAAGAAGAGAAAACCTTTCAGGAAAATTGAGGATTTTGAGGAAATTACTATTAGCTTGCTTTTCCAAAATGTTCCTTTGTTGATTAAGAATTTTTACGAACCTGTGAACTCTTAAGAAATTTGTTTGAAGTTTCAGTTATGCTAAATATATCTATTAGTATTAAGACTAGTACTTAACTGAACGGAACACAAAATATATTGTGCATTGTTAGATAAACTCGTAAGACAAACTATAGACGCAAGGAACATCCGACCAACTACAATACCAAGACAGAACTACCAGTCTACACAACACTGACTGCCCCAACCCACCAATAAGAGTGCATTCCAATATTACCGAACCCCTACGATATGATAAGCAATTTCCCACTTTTCTCATGGAATATATGCTTCTACCTCTTCTCAACTGTATTAAGTTTCCCTCTGCCTCCGAAGATGCTAAGGAGTTATTTAGTGAAGCGCGTTTTTCTCCGATACGTGTTATATTTACTAATATTGTAAAGTTGATTAACGAAAGTTAATTTAAAACGTTAACTTTCTTACCAAGTGAGGACTAACACAGAGATGATTCGCGCTTGAATCATTGATCTAAACCTCTCCCTCATATGGAATTACACATTATAAGCCCGACTGTTACTAAAGTATAGTTTTATATATCATATAAAACAAATCATCTTCAGAGATGGAGTTTTCTCTCGGAAACCATAATCTTATGGTGAACACGAATTGATATATCAAGGTTTAGAATCTTTTTGGTTGTCATGTGTTCGTGTTGAGTCTTTGTTTACAAATATTTAACTTGAGTAAATGTTCTATTGATTTTGAATAATTCAAAATAGAGAGTAATGTTATTTGGTCTGAGTACGAAAAAATAACTTTATAAATTATTACAGATTGGACCACGATTGGACCTGAATTTGATTTGATGGTAATATATTCTCATAGATTGTGTATCAGTTTGTGCATATTTGCAGTTCTCCCACACAAACGTTGAAACGTTGCAATTCTAAAACACAAACGTTACAGTCCTCCCACACAAACGTTGCTATATATATATATATATATATATATATATATATATATATATATATATATATATATATATATATATATATATATGTATTATAAATATATATATATATGTCATTAAACACAACAGAATTGTGACTATTATTAATTTTCTTTTGGATATTTTCCATTCTATGCAAATATCTTTTACCATATGGAGGGTGAAGAAATATTAGATCACTAAATCTTTTCATTTTTAATCGACGTTTAGTCAGCAATGTATTTTTGAGCTTAACAATGCAGATATCACTTCACTCATCATATTACTGATGATGAGTGAAGATTCCAACAGATCACGTAACAAATGTTCCAGCAGAACAAGTAACAAATATTCCAGCAGGGCAAGTTCAACTTTAGACATATTCTGAGGGAGGGGAAGGTGGAGGGGGATAGGGGGATGGATGGGCAGGATAGGAGGGCCTGTGTTCAGGGTGTCTAGCCTCTCCCTTGTAGGTGACCTGGGCCTCCAGACCATCACCATTGTCCACGTAGTTGACGTTCTGTTTGCGACCGTCTGGGAGGTCCACCGAGTAGCTGCCCTCAGTCTTGTAGCCGTCGCGGACCTCAGAGTGGCCGAAGTTGACGCCGGTGTAGCCATCAGAAACACCGTAGTTGTAGGTGTATTTGGGAGGAACCTACGGTGATAGAAACATCATTTTATCAAACACACAGTTGGAAATGTAAAGGAACCAGTATAAACGCAGTTCAAATAAGGTTTTTAAGTACCAGATAGAAGCACCATTCGTTTTGTAGACAAGTTCACAGTAATATAACATTATGAATCATTAAGGATCTCTAGTGACGTTCATGCCTCACCTCTGGGTAGGCTGGCTGGTGGTAGGGTGCTGACTGGTGGTAGGACACAGGCTGGTGGTAGGGCTCTGGTGTGTGGTATGATGGTGTGGTATGGTACACAGGAGCCAGGTCCTCTGCCACCACCACCACCACCACCATCGCTATAATCAGTGCCTGAAATATGAATTTTTATTATGACTTGATGTATCTTTTACACCTGGAATCCCTAACCACTCACTCATGCCAAACTGGTGCGGTTCAGGTCTTTTAGTAATGATATTGTATTGGAATATTTTGGTTAAATTTAAGAACTAGTGGTGTTCTGTGTTTCTAAAATGAATGCTAGTAAACCCTTAAGGACCGTCCACGTCATAAGAATACGCGGAAGTAATGCCACGACAATACTTTGGGGAAATGTTTTGGAAAAGGGAGTCGTTTCCTGAAAATATTGGGTAGATGATTGGACAATACTTGGAGTTACAGGAAGACAGTGTTAGTGGTCAGAGCCCACCAGTGATGACAAGGCAGGTGTCCGTACCTTGAGGGCCATGCTGCAGTTGTGATGGTCACAGAGCCTCGACACTCTTTATATAGCGCTCATCCTCATTACTTTCCCTGAATATTTCCAGAACCTGGACCACAGACGCCTGGAACAACTGTCTCGGCTGCCTGGAGTCTTTTCCAGGATACAGGAATCTATACAACTTCTACCTCAGAGGATAGGAATAGCTGTCCGATCATCTGAGAGAGAAAGAGAGAGAGAGAGACCTAACCTAACATAACTAAATCAGTAATTCATGTTCTTTATATAATAATATTAATTGTAATGGACCAATCTTGAAAGATATATTTGAAAATAACCAAAATCCCTCTTTTAGGCAAATCGGGCTTTGCAAACTATGCCAAGTAGTGAGGTTTTGGCTATTAGGTACTACACATAGACCCTCCCCCGGACGCAACCCCACAATAGGTGACTAACTCCTAGGTACCTATATACTGCTTGGTGATCAGAGGCATTAGGTGAAAAACAAGTGCTCAACTACTTCTATCCCGCCCATAAATTGAATCCGGGATCCCCGATTGTAAGTTGGTAATGCTTTTTAGTGGAGGTGCTTAGTAGTTACATAAACTACTAATCACAAGATTACACATATTGGTAGTGAAGACAGGATTATTATTATTATTATTATTATTGAATTATTATTATTATTATTATTATTACGATAAGCAAAGAAGTATGTTTACATGCATTTATCTTATCTCTGAGGTAAACGTGGGTTAAAGGGTTGTTAAATTTACAATTAATGAAAATAAAGGACATCAGGTTATATATATCTCTTTATTACAAAATGAACTCTTGATAACGTGATTTATTTCGAGATAATCTTCGGAGCAGACCATGGGGATCGAAGCAGCGTCCTGGGTCTCACCACACGAGCTCCTCAGACCCATGGAGAAAGGCAACGTGCCGAAACCATTTTTGTTTAGGGCGTCTGTGGTCCAGGAACTTCAGGCTTTTGCATCCTGTAAACACCCTACGAAGCTGAGACAGTTGTTCTTATCTTCTGAGGTCCACGTTGTATACTTTCGTGTATCCTGGAAAAGACTCCAGGCAGCCGAGACAGTCGTTCCCGGCGTCTGTGGTCCAGGTTCTGGAAATATTTAGGGAAAGTAATGAGGATGAGCGCTATATAAAGAGTGTCGAGGCTCTGTGACCATCACAACTGCAGCATGGCCCTTAAGGTACGGACACCTGCCTTGTCATCACTGGTGGGCTCTGACCACTAACACTGTCTTCCTGTAACTCCAAGTATTGTCAAATCATCTACCTAATATTTTCAGGAAACGACTCCCTCTTCCAAAACATTCCCCAAAGTGCTGTCGTGGTATTACTTCCGCGTATCCTTATGGTGCGGACAGTATTCAAAGGTTTAGAAATATTCATTTTAGAAAAACAGTATTCCACCAGTTCTTAAATTTAACCAAAATATTATCATACAATATGATAACTAAATTACCTGGAACGCACCAGTTTGGCAAGAGAGTGGCTTGGGATACCAGGTGTAAAAGATACATCAAGTCTTAATGAAAATTCATGTTTTCAGGTATTGATTATAGCGATGGTGGTGGTGGTGGTGGTGGCAGAGGACCTGGCTCCTGTGTACCATACCACACCATCATACCACACACCAGAGCCCTACCACCAGCCTGTGTCCTACCACCAGTCAGCACCCTACCACCAGCCAGCCTACCCAGAGGTGAGGCATGAACGTCACTAGAGATCCTTAATGAATCATAATGTTATATTACTGTGAACTTGTCTACAAAACGAATGGTGCTTCTATCCGGTACTTAAAAACCTTATTTGAACTGCGTTTATACTGGTTCCTCACTATTTCCAACTGAGTGTTTGATTAAATGATGTTTCTCTCACCTTAGGTTCCTCCCAAATACACCTACAACTACGGTGTTTCTGATGGCTACACCGGCGTCAACTTCGGCCACTCTGAGGTCCGCGACGGCTACAAGACTGAGGGCAGCTACTCGGTGGACCTCCCAGACGGTCGCAAACAGACCGTCAACTACGTGGACAATGGTGATGGTCTGGAGGCCCAGGTCACCTACAAGGGAGAGGCAAGACACCCTGAACACAGGCCCTCCTATCCTGCCCATCCATCTCCCTATCCTGCCCATCCATCTCCCTATCCTGCCCATCCATCTCCCTATCCTCCTCCACCTTCCCCTCCCTCAGAATATGTCTAAACTTGAACTTGTTCAACTGGAATATTTGTTACTTGATTTGTTGGAATATGTTTTATATCTGTTTCCAGATCCGTGTTGTTGATTAAATAAATTTAACTTTGCTGGCATCTCAAGTTTTACTGAGTGAAGTCTTTGGAAATTATCACAAGTTTATTAATCATCATTATGAAGGGCAGTATCAGCATTTCTTTCTAAATTAAATTTCAATATATTTTATTTCTTTTTAATATATAATAAAAAAAATTAATACAGAAAAATATACTCCGTATTTTTTCGGTTGAGATATAATTTTTGTTTGGAACAAGATAGTACCCGCTTTAAAATATTTCAAATTCTTAGTCATACTCACCAAGTTCAGTTAAGAAAAACATGAAGTCGAATTTGTTATCAAAGAAATTTATGAAAATAAACAAATTATAACTATCCTGAAACCTTACAAATGTTGACAAATACACAATGATATCACATTAAATTTGTGTATCAATATCAGTAGGAGTATCATTGAGTATCAGTAGGAGTATCATTGAGTATCAGTAGGAGTATCAATGAGTATCAGTAGGCGCCGTGAGGAAGATTTGAGCCCTCCTCACGACATCTACTGATTCTCTCGCAGTAATATAGTTACGTTGTGTGAGATACTAACAATTATCACAACCTTAGGTAATGTGATTTACAACTTTGGTTTAAAGTTTTACCCAGCAGAAAATTTTGCAATAATGCAGGACCAAGAATGATCAGCCAAGCATAGACGTTGATCATTAGTCTTTGATATAAACTAACAGGCTTCCTGTCTCTGACTATGCGATACTACGTAGATTACAATCTATATTTCCCATGCAAAAGCAAAATTAATAAGATTTCTATATATCTTTGGCTTCTGAAGCTTCAACTGTTAAAAAATACTTAACTCGGTGAGGATTCACTGTAATCTGTAATTTGTCATTAACATTCATTATAAGAAGAGAAAACCTTTCAGGAAAATTGGGGATTTTGAGGAAATTGTTATTAGCTTGCTTTTCCAAAATGTTCCTTTGTTGATTAAAAATTTTTACTAACCTGTGAACTCTTAAGAAATTTGTTTGAAGTTTCAGTTATGCTAAATATATCTATTAGTATTAAGACTAGTATTTAACTGAACGGAACACAAAATATATTGTGCATTGTTAGATAAACTCGTAAGACAAACTATAGACGCAAGGAACATCCTACCAACTACACAACCAAGACAGAACTACCAGTCTACACAACACTGACTGCCCCAACCCACTAATAAGAATGTATTCCAATATTATCGAACCCCTATGATATGGTAACCAATTTCCCACTTTTCTCATGGAATATATGTTTCTGCCTCTTCTCAACTGTATTAATTTTCCCTCTGACTCCGAAGATGCTAAGGAGTTATTTAGTGAAGCGCGTTCTTCTCCGATACGTGTTAGATTTACTAAGATTGTAATATTGATTAACGAAAGTTAATTTAAAACGTTCACTTTCTTACCAAGTGAGGACTAACACAGAGCTGATTCGCTCTTGAATCATTGATCTAAACCTCTCCCTCATATGGAATAAACTCATTATAAACGAACAAATTCGCCCTTGTGGATTTGTTCATTTGATGCATCACGTTATTGTGATCTCTGTGTGTGAACTCATTATAACCCCCGACTGCTTCTGAAGTATAGTTGTATATATCATATAAAACAAATCATCTTCAGAGATGGAGTTTTCTCTCGGAAACCATAATCTTATGATGAACACGAATTGATATATCAAGGTTTAGAATCTTTTTGGTTGTCATGTGTTCGTGTTGAGTCTTTGTTTACAAATATTTAACTTGAGTAAATGTTCTGTTGATTTTGAATAATTTAAAATAGAGAGTAATGTTATTTGGTCTGAGTAAGAAAAAATAACTTTATAAATTATTACAGACTGGACCACGATTGTACCTGAATTTGATTTGATGGTAATATATTCTCATAGATTGTGTATCAGTTTGTGCATATTTGCAGTTCTCCCACACAAATGTTGCAATTCTCAAACACAAACGTTGCAATATATATATATATATATATATATATATATATATATATATATATATATATATATATATATATATATATATATATATATATATTGGTGTATACTGGCAGCAGGTTTTCTTTCAAACATGTTTCATTGAATATGACCGCATATTCTGTATTTATTATTTTCTGGTTTAGGGCTTCTATCCCTCTAACTATTTTCTTAGCATCAGGGCTTAATTGAAATAGGAGTTCTCCAAAACTCATTTTCGTACTTTTAAGGTGAAGAAAAGAAGTGATTTACTATAGAGTGTATTACACTTATTTGTATAATTTGCACGACGTTTCGAACCTCCATGGTTCATTCTCAAGTGAACAGATCTTACAATACTAGTTGATTTTATACCCGCATTAGGTCAGGTGATAATTCAATGAAGGTGAAAACATGGGGGGATACATAAGGGATAAACATAGGGGCTGCAGAAGGCTTATTGGCCCATACGAGGCATCTCCTATCTAAACACAAAGATTAATCCAGTGTAATTGGCCTGTTATGTTGGACATTGTCTTCTCTGTTGGCATCGATATGTTCTTGTCTTGTCCTTACTCTCATGGTGGGTAGAGTAAATAGTTCCGTGATTTGGGTGTTCATGGTAGGTCGCTCTATTCTTATGTGAATTGCCTCAAGAATTTGTAATCTTCTTGAATCTTGGGTTTTGTCTATTATGCAAGTATTCTTGTTCAACATTTCTCTTGTTAGAGTAATGTCATGGGCTTGTCTCATGTGATTCCTAGGGGCACCAGATTGAAGATGGCATGTCAAACGCCTCGTCAGCTTGGTCGACGTCATACCTATGTACTTACATTGAAGGTTACATCCTTCGTGGGGGCAAGTGTACATGTATACAACGCTTGACTGCTGTAGAGGGTTCTCCGTCGGCTTCGGGCTGTTTTTGATAAGGAGTTCGGAAGTCTTCTTGGTTTTGTAGAATATTATCAGGTTTATGTTTTGGTTAGGAGTAGTGCTTTTTACTCCTTTACGGATTTCTCCTATTTCAATTAAGCACTGATGCTAAGAAAATAGTTAGAGGGATAGAAGCCCTAAACCAGAAAATAATAAATACAGAATATGCGGTCATATTCAATGAAACATATATATATATATATATATGTCGTACCTAGTAGCCAGAACGCACTTCTCAACCTACTATGCATGGCCCGATTTGCCTAATAAGCCAAGTTTTCATGAATTAATATATTTTCTCTATTTTTTTTCTTATGAAATGATAAAGCTACCCATTTCATTATGTATGAGGTCAATTTTTTTTTATTGGAGTTAAAATTAACGTAAATATATGACCGAACCTAACCAACCCTACCTAACCTATCTTTATAGATTAGGTTAGGTTAGGTAGCCGAAAAAGTTAGGTTAGGTTAGGTTAGGTAGGTTAGGTAGTCGAACAAAAATTAATTCATGAAAACTTGGCTTATTGGCCAAATCGGGCCTTGCATAGTAGGCTGAGAAGTGCGTTCTGGCTACTAGGTACGACATATATATATATATATATATATATATATATATATATATATATATATATATATATATATATATATATATATAATATACTATATAATATGTCATTAAACACAACAGAATTGTGACATTAATTTTCTTTTGGATATTTTCCATTCTACTGAAATATCTTTTTCCATGTGGAGGGTGAAGAAATATTAGATCACTAAATCTTTCCATCTTTATTGTTCGACGTTTCGTCAGCAATGTATTTTTGAGCTTAACAATGCAGATATCACTTCACTCATCATATTACTGATGATGAGTGAAGATTACAACAGATCACGTAACAAATGTTCCAGCAGAACAAGTAACAAATATTCCAGCAGGGCAAGTTCAACTTTAGACATATTCTGAGGGAGGGGAAGGTGGAGGGGGATAGGGAGATGGATGGGCAGGATAGGAGGGCCTGTGTTCAGGGTGTCTAGCCTCTCCCTTGTAGGTGACCTGGGCCTCCAGACCATCACCATTGTCCACGTAGTTGACAGTCTGCTTGCGACCGTCTGGGAGGTTTACCGAGTAGCTGCCTTGGGTCTTGTAGCCGTCGCGGACCTCAGAGTGGCCGAAGTTGACGCCGGTGTAGCCATCAGAAACACCGTAGTTGTAGGTGTATTTGGGAGGAACCTACAGTGATAGAAACATCATTTTATCAAACAAACAGTTGGAAATGGAAAGGAACCAGTATAAAAGTAGCTCAAATATGGTTTTTAAGTACCAGATTGAAACACCATTCGTTTTGTAGACAAGTTCACAGTATTATAACATTATGATTCATTAAGGATCTCTAGTGACGTTCATGCCTCACCTCTGGGTAGGCTGGCTGGTGGTAGGGTGCTGACTGGTGGTAGGACACAGGCTGGTGGTAGGGCTCTGGTGTGTGGTATGATGGTGTGGTATGGTACACAGGAGCCAGGTCCTCTGCCACCACCACCACCACCACCATCGCTATAATCAATACCTGAAAACATGAATATTTATTATGACTTGATGTATCCTTTACACCTGGAATCCCTAACCACTCTCGTGCCAAACTGGTGCGGTTCAGGTCTTTTAGTAATGATATTGTATTGAAATATTTTGGTTAAATTTAAGAACTAGTGGTGTACTGTGTTTCTAAAATGAATGCTAGTAAACCCTTGAGGACCGTCCGCGCCATAAGTGTACGCGGAAGTAATGCCACGACAGTACTTTGGGGAAATATTTAGGAAGAGGGAGTCGTTTCCTGAATATACTGTGTAGATGATTGGACAATACTTGGAGTTACAGGAAGACAGTGTTAGTGGTCAGAGCCCACCAGTGATGACAAGGCAGGTGTCCGTACCTTGAGGACCATGCTCGAGTTGTGATGGTCACAGAGCCTCGACACTCTTTATATAGTGCTCATCCTCATTACTTTCCCTGAATATTTCCAGAACCTGGACCACAGACGCCGGGAACGACTGTCTCGGCTGCCTGGAGTCTTTTCCAGGATACAGGAATGTAAACATCTTTTTCCTCAGAGGATAGGAATAGCTGTCCGATCATCTGAGAGAGAAAGAGAGAGAGACCTAACCTAACATAATTAAGTCAGTAATTCATGTTCTTTATATAATAATATTAATTGTAATGGACCAATCTTGAAAGATATATTTGAAAATAACCAAAATCCCTCTTTTAGGCAAATCGTACCTTGCAAACTATGCCAAGTAGTGAGGTTTTGGCTATTAGGTACTACACATAGACCCTCCCCCGGACGCAACCCCACAATAGGTGACTAACTCCTAGGTACCTATTTACTGCTTGGTGATTAGAGGCATTAGGGTGAAAAACAAGTGCCCAACCACTTCCATCCCGCCCATAAATCGATCCCGGGATCCCCGATTGTAAGTTGGTAATTTTTTTTAGTGGTGTTTGGTAGTTACATAAACTACTAATCACAATACTACACATATTGATAGTGAAGACAGGATAATTATTATTTTTATTATTATTTAATTATTATACTTATTATCAATATTATTATCAATATTATCATTATTATTATTATTACGGTAAGCAAAGAAGTATGTTTACGTATCTTTATCTTATCTCTGAAGTAAGATAAGAAAAACCCACCACGTTTAAGAAAACGTGGGTTAAAAGGTTGTTAAAATTACAATTAATGGTAATAAAGGACATCAGGTTAATTATATATCTTTAATACAAAATAAACTCTTAATTACGGGATTTATTTAGAGATAATCTTTGGAGCAGGCCGGGGGGGGGGGGGATTTTGATTGTTGCCGCTGGAGGCAGCTAGTTTATTGTGCACCCTATACCCATCCTGTGAGCGGTAGCGCAAAAATCATTACAGAGGGCACAAAAGGTCTTTATCAGACCTCATCTTAGATTATTACATAAACAATTTCATCTATCCTTCACACCTTATAGTTACAATGTCAGCAAGTTACAGAGAAAGTGCTATTTCAAGAGCTATATATTTACAGTAAGTCATTATACATTAATGGTAGGTCTTATCGCTAATACATAATAGGGGAGGGCCGGGGGGGATCGAAGCAGCGTCCTGGGTCTCGCCACCCGAGCTCCTCAGACCCATGGAGAGGTTATCTTGAGGTTATCTTGAGATGATTTCGGGGCTTTAGTGTCCCCGCGGCCCGGTCCTCGACCAGGCCTCCACCCCCAGGAAGCAGCCCGTGACAGCTGACTAACACCCAGGTACCTATTTTACTGCTAGGTAACAGAGAGAGGCAATGTGCCGAAACCATTTTTGTTCCTCTTGGGGATCGAACCTGAGATCCTGGAGTGTGTGTCAACAATGTGAACCGTTAAGGTAATTTCCTTTGTTTGAGGTTGAAGTAAATATTAGCTATCAGTGTGAAATTTTCACGCAATAATTATAATTATTAGCGGAGAAAGTAGGAAGATGAGCAGGTGTGGCAGCGAGGCGTCAAGTCTACGCTAATGGTGTGTAAGAATACTCTCAAGTGACGTAACATGTTCCCTGAGGAGTGTTAAGGAGCAGCTGGTGCAACAGGCGGCACCTGTCCGCTGGCCAACTATCACCAACTGTCCGGCAGTTAACAATATTGCCAGTATTCCCGCTTTCTAATCTGGTATAACTCCTTGAAGGAGGTAATATTGTTATCAGGAGAGAGCCATGGGCCACAATGATTATAATAGTACATGGAAGCCCACGAAAAGGAAGCCCACGAAAAGGAAGCCCACGAAAAGGAAGCCCACGAAAATCAAGCCACCTCGTTTGCTCGATTTTCAATTCCGTAAAAAATACAACCTCCTAACCTGACCATAAACGTGCCAACCCAACCAACCCACTTAAACTATCGAGATCGATCCATAGAAAATATAGATATAAGTGAGCCGTTATTTTTTATAATAGGTTACATTTGTAACGTTGATTACATGAAATCAATAAAAAAGCGACCTATTACTTGAGAGAACGGGTTAACAGGATACGGGGACAAGGAGCTGGATATACAAGGACGGAGTGAAGTAATGGTCCCCAAAGCCTTGGATCATTGGAGTTCGAACGCCGGCCCTGCATGGAACGATTCCGTGGATGTACCGATAACTCCAAGTAGATGGGCACATAGGTAATAACATTATGACAAACTAAGGCAACATCACAACTCCACAGAGCTGAAAATATCACGTCCTGAAATATCTAAAAAAAAAATGGACAAGGATTAAGAATTCTTTTGAATATAAAAGATGCCATTTTTGTTCAGTCCGTCCTCCTGTTTAGATGGTAATTTTTATAACGATGTGAACCGTCGTACATAGACGTAATGGACAATTAGATAGCAGAATTTGATATTATTCACTTTATTAAGTCCTGAAAATATATAGCTAAGACCAAATATTCCTAGACCAAGTATAGCACATATGTACTATGTTAGGCCTCAGAGAGCTAGGCCTACTAAAATGGTTACATTAGGATGAATTAGCAACATAAATTACAAAACATTTTCTGGTTTATCCAAATTCAGTAATACCAAATTCGACTTTCTAATTGTCCATTACGTCAATATATATGTACTATGGTCCACATCGTTACCTGAATGGGCTGACTTGTTTTCACTGGCGATATCTGGCAGCGGCGCCGGTTGGGCCCGCTGGGGAGAATTGCCAGAGTTTATAAATAGAGAGAGAGTCCCTCGGCTCTCTCAGTACAGCCATGACCGGCAAGGTAAGTGCATCAGGCATGCATATATATATATATATATATATATATATATATATATATATATATATATATATATATTGTGTGTGTGCTGTACTAGGCCTGGAAATATTTTAGCTTTTTTTCACTTGTATTTTTTTCCCGGACTCTCTAAAGTGAATAGTAGCAAATTGTACTGATTGTCCATTACGTCAATATATGTGTTAGACAGGTGTAAGATAGGTATAAAATAGGTATAAGAGTGATTTATCGTTTCAGGTGGTGAAGGTTACCTGCGTAGTGTTGACGGCTCTGGTCAACCAAGCTCTCTGCTTCGTGGGTCGTCCCAGCCCTTCGCTACCCCATGGGTCGCCCGCCATAATAGGTTCTGCCCCCCTGTCCTACCCTTTCTACCCATCTCCTCCCGATGGGTATTCTGTCCCGCTAAAAAAAGGATCCTCTTCATTTTTACCCTATTCGCCATCTTCCTCTGTAACCTATGTTACAGCAGCCCCAATAACGTACTCTCAACCTTCTTTAAAACCCTATTTTCTGCCGTCACCTAAATCCTACTTTGTATCGTCCCCTAAACCCTATTTTGAACCGTCCCCAAATTCCTATTATCTAAAGTCCCCTAAGCCCTATTTCCCGCCGTCCCCTAAACCTTATTTTACACCGTCCCCTAAATCCTATTTTCAATCTTCCCCTAAACCCTATTTTCAACCATCCCTTAAACACTATTTTGCACCGTCTCCTAAACCCTATTTTACACCATCCCCTAAATCCTATTTTCCATCGTCCCCTAAACCCTATTTGCCAAAATCTCCTGAACCCTATTTTTCACCGTCCCCTAAACCCAATTTTCAATCGCCTCCTAAGCCCAATTTTCAAAGGTCTCCTAAATCCTATTTTCCATCGTTTCCTAAACCCTATTTGCCAAAATCTCCTGAACCCTATTTTTCTCCGTCCCCTAAGCCCTATTCTCCACCAGAATACTATCCCCGTCCGTCAACCTATTCACCAGTTCCACCTTATAAACACCCGTTAACCTACGACCTACGACAATCTACACCTACCTCTCACCATGATCTTAAATACCCTGTCGTACGTATACTGCTCTACGTTGTGGTTTATATAGGTCGCCCTCAGCTGGGCTTTGGTTTACATAGGTCGCCCTCAGCTGGGCTTTGGTTTACATAGGTCGCCCTCAGCTGGGCTTTGGTTTACATAGGTCGCCCTCAGCTGGGCTTTGGTTTACATAGGTCGCCCTCAGCTGGGCTTTGGTTTACATAGGTCGCCCTCAGCTGGGCTTTGGTTTACATAGGTCAGCATCAGCTGCGTTCTCTCTCAGTTTGCCGCTCCGTACAAAATGCGACTGTTTTCCATAAATATACGAAGCCACGCGTCCATATTACAGCGCTGAGATTTCTAATAATACGACGCATATCTAACGGATTAGCCAATTCCGTACAAAATGCGACGTATTAGGTGAGGGGGACTGGTTGTAGAGAAACAACATCACTACAGGTTGTCGCTTTTTGATTAGTAACGATAAAAATTTTAAAATATTTATATTTCATTATATAAAGATATATATATATATATATTGCATCAGAGGTGGTACCCCCCCCCCCCATTAAAGATAATTGTAAAATTCTAGAGTTCGTTTATGATTTTAATTCAAGCAAAAGTAATATTTGTAATAGACTTGTTTACTGGATGTAATTATTGTATTAAACTTATTTACTGAATGTAATATAATATAATGTGCTTGCTTAGTTAAATTAACATGATAGACTTATTTTACATAAATAATATAGGCTTATTTGACATTGTTAAATAAAAAAAAATTATTAATTACTAAGTGTTTAATAAAATAGGTTTATTTTGCATAGAAAGTAATAAAATAGGTTTGTTTCTCATAAAACATTAATAAAAAGGCTTTGATTACTAAAATGTCAAGCAAACAAAAAAATATGTAAATTCTGTTGGATCCTACAGGCAATCTTACACTCCTAAAGAACATATATTGACGATCTTCTTCTCCAGAAGCGTCCTCAGTACGCCTTCAGCTACGGCGTCGCTGACGACTCCTCAGGGGCCTCCTACAGCCACTCCGAGGTCCGGGACGGCCAGGAGACCACGGGCAACTACGTCGTGGACCTGCCTGACGGTCGTAGGCAGACCGTCACCTACTTTGACACAGGAAATGGTCTGATGGCAGATGTTACCATTGAGGGGCAGATTAAACATACTCCTACATACGTAGCCCCTCCGATCTTCACTAATGTCCGCCCGGATCTTCCCGAATACTCCAGGCCTTTGTCTAGCGTCTAATTTGACGTCATTTTTGTCAACCCAGAAGCATGTGAAACTACTTAACCTATTCGTGGCCGATTGATGTGCTTCTAATATCACTTCTAGTACTTCTAATTTCACTTCTAGTGCTTCTAATTTCACTATAGCCCTACAACTTGGTCGCTGTAGTTAATACGGGCTAAATGGCTGCGTATTAAGGTTGAATCATATTGATTTCTTGGCTCCATTCCTTCATATATCACCTGTTCCTCACCCCCCATTCATTTGCCTCATCCGCGGTTTCGAACAAAGGCCAGAAAAAGGCAAAACTGTCTCTCTAACTACTAGGCCAGTATGCCTACATAAGGAAGGGATTCAAAAGTACCTAACTAATATGTAGGTATATATGTATAAAGTCTGTATATATAATAAATATTATTTCGTTACCGAGCCTTGTGTATGGGAGATCCTATTTTTTCCCATTAGCCCCTATTATGGGGATTCTATTTGATATTATATTCAGTTAGGGGATTCAATTTGTTCCGATTAGGGGATCCTATATGTTCATATTAGGGGGACCCTATCAGTTCCTATTAGATCCTATTAACGGGATCCTATTTAAAATATAACTATTAAAGCATAAAGAAAATAACAGATAAAACGCCTGTTTAGAAACCCTTAAAAGTAAAATAATTGTGAGCGGAATTCTATAATAATAATAATGTTACGGATCCAGCTTCAGATATCCCTGCTCTGCCTGTTGACTAGATGTTGTATTATATCAGTAATTAAGTATCCAGGAGTTAGGCAATAGCCATAACTGGAATTTTAAATTGCCTATACAGATGATGAGTCACAATAACATGGCTGAAGATATAATGACCAAACCACACAGATGAAGAGGCGCCGATGTTTCGGTCTATCCTGGATCATTATCACGTCATGTGTGAGTGTTAGTAGTGTAGAGGAGAGTAGTATAGTGTAGAGGAGATTAGAGTAGTGTAGTAGAGTAGAGTAGAGGAAACACTAACAAGAGATAGGGAGTAACAATATTCCCTCACTGCCTGATCTAGTATTTAGACACAGAGAAGCATACATAGCAACGATTACATGTTAAGAACCAATATAAGCCTTATACCACAGCACCATTGTCTTCAGCAATATAATGAATTATAGAAGAAATATTACAAAGAGATGGATACAAGAAAAATGTAATTCGTGAAGGAGAACTGCATGTGAATTATTTACTCTGTGACAGTTTGTATTAGATACCTGGAAACAAAAGTCTATGAATTTAATAAAGTTGTACACCACTAGATGTAAAGATGAGGTAGACAGATAAATACCACGGAAGAAATAAGGGAATATGAGGAAGAACACCAACTTATGACTCAATAACCAAGGGGAGCCAAGAAAAGGTACAGAAGAACATAGCAGAAACTCTTAATAAATAATGAGGCTAAATAAATACAAGGGGATCACCGCGCATAAGAACTAGAATACAGCAGAATATGTTGTGCAACAGAAATGCAGTTAGAAATTGATATAGCCAATGAGGCCAAAGATCAACCAAGAATGCTGAAAATCCTCATTAAAAGAAATCTCTTAACTATCCACCTATGCCAGGAATCATCAATGTCCCAAGGTTGTAATTTTGGACGACCTTGTAACGCATCAGAGCTCCTTAACTGTTCAAGAAATGCAGACTAAGCTGCCATGATCAAGGTAAGAGGCACAGTTCTCGTAAATGCATACGTAAGAGGTACAGATCTCGTAAGTGAAAACATAAGAAGTATTAAGAAATCCACAAGGGCCGTGATGAGGGTTCGAACCTACGTCCGAGACGATCCCAGACGCGCCTTTGTTCATTTGATGCATCACGCTATTATGATTTCTGTGTGTATAACAGTTTGCCGATGATGATAAGGGGATGAGCCACATGACTGTTAATGACTGTCAAGTGTTGCAGGTAGACCAAAATAGGCTTCATAAGACCTGATACAAATTTCACCGGTACACACACACACACACACACACACACACACACACACACACACACACACACACACACACACACACACACACACACACACACACACACACAACCGCAAATCCTTATTCAAAAGCTTCAGATAAATTAGAGTAGTTTAACCACAACTCGGTCACTTAGCGAACACAGCTGCTGGCATCCTCGCTTACACTCGCTTTCCTTAATGACAAGTGAACGACCACTTTCCCTGCTCTCATGGGCGAAAATCTCAGCTTACCGTAGTTCTCAGTAGTTACGCTTAACTACCCCCAGCTCTTGGCCCTGGGAACTCTACTCCCCAAGCCCGGTCTGGGTAAATCAATTATTTTATTATTTTTGAGGAGTATACAGTAATTTACATTGTGCATGCATATTCAAATTGATTAATGAATAAGACAGCTTGAATATTAACGTTAATTATACACTTCTCTTACAGTTAATATTTTTTGTTGTTCATGGTTATCATATATCAAATGTTATATTCATGTCGACAACACAAATTGCTAAATCAATTATTTTTTTAGGTCAGGTGGTGAGCAAAATACAATAATTTAGATATGTTTCCGTGGCTCCGAATCTTGAAAAGCTTTTCATATATATACGAAAATGGTTGATGTGACTGAAGGACTACTTGTACTGATGATATAGTGAATATGTGTATTAACCTAGTTGTGCTTGCGGGGGATGAGCTTTGGCTCTTTGGTGTGTGTGTGTGTGTGTGTGTGTGTGTGTATTCACCTAGTTGTGCTTGCGGGGGTTGAGCTTTGCTCTTTCGGCCCGCCTCTCAACTGTCAATCAACTGATTATTAACTACATTTCTTCCCACACCACACACACACACACCCCAGGAAGCAGCCCGTGACAGCTGACTTACTCCCAGGTACCTATTTACTGCTATGTAACAGGGGCATCAGAGTGAAAGAAACTTTGCCCATTTGTTTCTGTCTGGTGCGGGAATCGAACCCGCACCACAGAATTACGAGTCCTGCGCGCTATCCACCAGGCTACCCTGGTAGTGTGTATGTGTGTGAGTGTGTTTGTGTGGGAGGGGGGGCGGGTTTCCATTAATATTAATCAGTGAACCTGTTTTACAACCCCTAATCAATTCACACTCTTAACATTAACTCCTTCCAAACATTAATTCCATTACATTAATACATTAATTAAGGAAATTCATTACCTCCCTTAATTACTTCACAGGTAATCCGCGTGATAAACATAACAAATGAACAAGAGAAAAGGTGCCATGATTCAGAAGATAATTACCTTCCAAAAATACAAAACACAAAAGCATTAAAGTTTCGCCTCTGGCCAGCAGGCTGGCACCTGTTACCTCGTTTCTCCAATTCGAAATTTGCAAGAGTGTATATATATATGTGTGTGTGGGTGTGTCGTCCACGAGTACCACACCAGCCATGTCTCTCAAGGTAAGAGCAGACTCCATACTGAGTATTATCACTTATGTACTCAGTCCCAGCTCATTCCTAGTACATGTAATTCCAGCTCATTCCTAGTATACGCAATCCCAGCTCATTCCTAGTCAACGAAATATCAGACAGTATGAGTAAAGTTGTTTTACTGCATATCCAGGAGCAGGATGGATAGTTGCCGGATTATCGAACATTAACCCAGTGTTTATGACAAGCTCTTCCAACCCCAAAGACACTGTTTTGTCTCACAGTACAGCCCGTCCTCATCAATAAAGCCCAATCGTGCTAATGAGAACTAGCTGTTCAAACGCCAGAACTCTGTTTTGTCTCATAGCGAAACCTGTTCAGCTTGGACTTAAGTCTTCGGACTTCGGAGAACTCGCTCAACAAGCCTTTCGTATACTGCTCGTTTTCTAATTGTTTACTCTGTAAATAATGTCCGTTCTCTGAAACCGAGAGGTTGTGCTCATCTAGTTCTCCCCCGCCTTGGCCAACTACTGACGTTCACAGGCTGCAACCCATAGTTTTACTCCTTCCTGAACAAATCAATTATTACGTAAAGGTTGAATCAGGCAAAAGAAAACGTGTCCAACTGCCTCTCTCTTGTTTGAGGATTGAATCCGGGTCCCTTCGGTTGAGAGTCAAGGACGCATACCACTGTGCTACAGAACCTATTAGTTTAAGCAAGATTATGTTGGTTATTTTAGATTAGGTTACGTTATTTTAGTTTAAGTGAAGTTTAGATTGGTTAGATTTGGTTAGGTTACATTAATATAGGTTGTGAAAGGTATTACATATCTAAAATGTTTGGCACTGTTTACTTTGTCATTACGTGACAGGACTAGGCACTGTTTATCTTTTAAACCGCAACTTATTTGTCAATTCAGGTGGTAAGGAAGACTTAGAGTGTTGTGTTCTTCAGGGCATTGTCATCGCTTGTGTGGCTGCACTTACCGCAGCAGGGCCATCGTCACTGTCCGGATACGGGGCTCGATTACAGCACGTTTCCTCCAGATCTGACCCACCAGCGTTGGGCGAGCCTGACCTTTCACCTCTGACCTCTACTCCTGAGTCGCCCGGATCCGTCGCTTCAACTACATTCAGTCCCACCACTCCAGCTGCGGTCTACCGGACGCCCATAATTACGTCCCACAAAAGCCCTCCAGACCCACCTGATTCCACTCCTCTATTTCCATCCTTCTCTGTTCCTGTAACCCCCTCCCACCCCATCCCTGCAGTCCCGTCCAGTCCCACCACAGCTGACTCGTCCTATCCCACCTCTCCTGTCCCGCCCAGTCCCACGACTCCTGTCTCACTGTATCTCACCCCTCAGTCCCCAGCTCCCACACCATTCAAGTATTCTTTGCCTCCGTTCACGTTCCCTTGGTATTCCACCCGTACACCTGCATACTCCACCCATTCACCCACATCACCCAAGTACGCCACCCATCCACTCAGGTACGCCACCCATCCACCCAAGTACACCACCCATCCACCCAGGTACGCCACCCATCCACCCAGGTACACCACCCATCCACCCAAGTACGCCACCCATCCACCCAAGTACACCACCCATCCACCCAAGTACACCACCCATCCACCCAGGTACACCACCCATCCACCCAAGTACACCACCCATCCACCCAAGTACACCACCCATCCACCCAAGTACACCACCCATCCACCCAGGTACACCACCCATCCACCCAAGTACACCACCCATCCACCATCCACCACCCATCCACCCAAGTACACCACCCATCCACCCAAGTACACCACCCATCCCAAGTACACCCATCCACCCAAGTACACCACCCATCCACCCAAGTACACCACCCATCCACCCAAGTACACCACCCATCCACCCAAGTACACCACCCATCCACCCAAGTACACCACCCATCCACCCAGGTACACCAGTGTAAGCTCATCCACCAACGAGGAAACTCTCCGCCCGATCCCTATGCCACATCCTTTCAAAGTTGTCGTCGTGCACCCGCCTGGGAAGCCCTATCCCCCTTGCAGGATATGCAAAGGACCTCTTATCCTGAGCCTCTACCCTCCACCCCCACCTGTCGAGCCTCCGACCCATCGAGTCCCCGACCCGTCGAGCTCCCCACCGGTCGAACCCCCGACCCATAAAATTCGACGGTAGTCGCACCCTGAGGTCAGTACGAGTCGATTCTTTCAAGTTAATATAATATATTTGTTACAAATGAGTCATTTTTTGGATTTTCTTTGCAACAATCCAGTAGGGATGTAATTATTCTCTGATTATAAGCTAGAATCGAATGATATGCAATCACTCTCTTAATCAGGACGATTCGAACCTGGGTCAGTTGGATTTCTAGGTCGTAATCATGGCCTACATGCCACCGTATCTCACAATAAAATAATTACTAGGAGGAGATTTGTATAAGTTATAATCGTAAATTGTTATACTAAATATAATCATTAAAATATTACATTTATTGTTGAAGGTCTCCCAAGAAGATGTCAACGATGACACGGGCATCGACCTGGGGCACTCTGAGTGTCGCGACGCGTACCAGACAGGGCAGCCACTCCGTCAACCTTCCAGATGGTCGCAATCAGATCACCACCTTCTAACCCAGCCTCCACCTACAAGCTAATTACCACTTACAACCCATCCTCCACCGACACGTCAATTCCAGTTTAAATATCAGCCTCCAACTACTTACAAGCCACTTGCAAATCAGCTCCAAGTTACAATCCGTCAATCTTTTACAATCATCAACTACGTTCAAGCCAGCCCCAAGCTGGCTTGGGACTGGCAAGTGCCTGCAAGCTGGCCTTCAAGCTCTCTTCTAACGCTTCATAATAGGCCTAGCCCCATTCACATATAATACTCTTCACCTATTTCTTCCCATTTCCTTTAAGCATCACCTGTTCATTAAGCATCACTCATTCCTTAAGCATCACTCATTCCTTAGGCAGCATCACTCCTTCTCAACCACTTTAAAATCACCCTTTTCTCACCTTTTCCTTAAGCATCACCTATTCCTCCTATCTTTATTATCACCAATTCATCCATTTTCACCACCAGCCATTCCCCCGTCTTTAAACTTGGTCGTCACGTTCTAAATGTTAAACAGTAACTTATTGTAAGGTTTTAATAAAGCAATATATATAAATATATACAATATCTGATCAAATCAATTGGTTCCTCTCTTTGTGTCATATTTTTTTAATAATTATTAATATTACTGTTATTATTGTAATTATTATTAATGTAATTATTTTGCCAAATAATACGATTATTTATAATACTCAAATAATATTCTGGTAGAATAGAATATTACTTTTGTAGCCTGGTAGAAGAAACACTACTCTGGTAGATTGGGACACTAATTTGGTAGATTGGGACACTAATTTGGGAGAAGAAACACTACTATTGTAGATTGGGACACTAATCTGGTAGAAGATAGCACTTGTAGAAGGGAACGTTGCTACACCTTTGTGATATATTGCAAAATGAGCTGTTGTTCTGAAATATGGCTGCAGTACTTTCATACAGACATACAGATCACCCATTTGCGCGTGCCTATCCGTGTGCACGCGCGTGCATACCAGTGCATATATATGGAACACAAAGATCAACTCTTAAACTCCCACGCAGCATAAGAGCTTAAGACGACCGGATAAGCATTACGATGGGATCGATATAACCGTCGATATTTTACCAACTATTAACGTAATTAAAAGACCGAAAATACATGGCCATGAGTGTACTGGAGAAAGGCGCCAGATTGTATATATACAGCGAGGCTGCTGGCTGGACCCCTCACAATACAATCATGACGTTCAGGGTGAGACCAGACAAGCTGTATCACAGTTATATATTGAAAACTAAATGGAATACGTCAAGCTCCTTGCGACACATTTTCAAGCGTTTTCCGATAGTGTTTAGTGCATTTCGTATCGTATTTTCCAGGTCGTCGTTATTATGTTCGTGGTCGTGGTGGTTCATGGTGAAGGACCTCCTGTATACCGCCGTCCTTCCTATCCAAGTCCTCGCTATCAGGACGACTATGATGACGTAAGTGGCAAGGCCTTACCTCAGTATGGCAAACTGTTTTAAACAGTGGTGGTACACCTTTCTTGAACAGTGGTGAATATCCCTAATCATATGTTACACAATATTTCCGATAATCAATTTTGTTGTCGAACGATAGCTCATGGTGGGGGTTTCAGGTGTGCTTACTTAGATATAAGTTACAGCCTTAATAAACACTGAACCCACACATCTGAAAATAGATGAAGTGGCGACGTATTAGTCCGTCAGGGAATCACCAGGTCGCGAGTTCAAGTCACTCTATTGCCTCTAAATTATATGCAAAAATGGTGCAAATGTGGGGGACCCATAGCCTCGGAGAAGAAAATAAGGATTATTCAGAGAAGACCTTGTGGATTCTCACTGAACATTTTAATATTTTTTATAATATATTTTATTATATATATGTATGAGAGAGGTCCACCTGGAAGCGACCTGTTATTCTACTTTCAACTGTACTATCAACCTGCCTTTTATTTTCTTTGCAACTAAAGAAAGTAGCTGTTATATAAATTGTAATTTCAGATTTTCTAATCATTATTGCTATCCCTTGCTTCTGGCAGGCTCCCTCGAGATACATCTTCAACTACAAGGTCGCCGACGACTACTCCGGCGCCAACTTTGGTCAGAATGAGGCCCGCGATGGCCACAAGACTGAGGGCAGTTACACGGTGGACCTTCCGGACGGTCGTAGGCAGACTGTCACCTACTTGGATGTCGGTGATGGTCTGGAAGCTGTGGTGAATTATGAGGGTGAGGCCCAGTACCCCGAGTACAAGCCAGAGTACAAGGCTTTTCCCACATATAAGCCCCTTCCTAAGTATAAGCCAGTGCCTGCATATAAGCCGACGCCCGAATATAAGCCGGCATCCCCGTATAAATCTGAACCCTTATATAAGCCAGCAACGATATACCAGCCCTACAAACCACCTCTTGTTACGGAGCCATCTTTCGCCTACAAACCATCTCTCAGTTATGAACCATCTATTTACGAACCATCTATTTACAAACCATATATATATGAGCAATCTCCAACTTACGAAGAATCTTCCATTTACGAACCGTCTCCCACTTACGAACCAGCTCTCACCTACGAACAGGCTCCGACCTATGAAGCAGCTTCCACCCGAAAGCTAGCTCCTGCCTACAAACGCATCTCTAAGAACAAACAGTAATCTGGTAAGCTTAGCTACCAGTGAGAAGACTCTTCTCTCTCATTCCTTGAAGTACACAACTTGTCTCAGGATTCCTTTACCAAATACATAGATATACAGATAGATTCACCCCCCCCCCCTTTCCTCAAGTTGTTGAGTGGCCTTAAATATTATATAACAAATGATGAATTTGTCAAAAGTCAAGTAGCTGTGATGAGCCAAGTTATTTCTGCAATTCTCCAGTTGAAATGTTTTAAGCTCATTACTGTCACCATTAATGAATTTGATGAGCCATGATAGTATAATGCCATGCTGAAAATTCTTATTTACTGATGAGGCTCATAGTGTGGATTCTTCTTCTTCTTTAAATAGTATTGTGAATTACAACATCTAATGACTTTCTTTCAAATTAACCAAAGATTAATTGTGAAGTGCCATGTTCAAAATACCTGTTTATGCTGCTTACAGATGTCAACATCGACAAGTTAAACACATGAATATATTATATTTCAAGGTAGATCATCTTGGTTATTTTTTTCACTTCAAATATCATTCAGTCATCATTAGGAATAAAATGTACAACTAATATATTTTATTCATGTTTGCATGGTTTTGTTTATTTGATGTTAAGGTGTTATGTCAATGTTAATTGACAGAATTTGTTATTAGCGTGACTATTAGATCAAGTCGACCCTTTTTCAGACTGGTTAATACTATTTATAATGTTCTTCTAGTCATTCTGGTCGTGTTAGAGTATATTAGATTTGGGGGATTAGACAGAAGTTAGGCTTTAATATGCCCTGCTTTCTACAATAGCACAATTGACTTATATTTAGTTAGGAGCAAGTTAAAAAGGAATAAAACTATAATCTAAAACTAACACATCACACTTTTCACATTGAGCTCATTTTAAGCACTTTTAAACATTTTTTAATTAAGAGATTTATACACTGAAAGGTGAACTCCATGTCTTGGTGTACATACATTTGAGAATTTACTTTAGATCTGGACTGTGTTGAAACTAACATATACTTGCTGGTTGCTCAGTAAGGTATTGTGTTCTACTTAATAAACTTCCACATGTTGATATACTTTTACAACACCGAAATCCCCAAACACACTCAGACCCTCAAAATTAAATATTACAAACCATCAACAAGAAATTCAATAAACATTTCTGCAATCGCTAAATCTCTGATTTGGCGATTGCCAACTAAGTCCAGAACTGGAAGCCAGGAACCCCAGCTGACTACCTGTTGCATCAGGTTTTTTTTCTGACACAGACGTGGCTACACATTTACAATGCTAACCAGCATATATACATTTTCTTCTGTCCTCCATGGACAGAGTTAGAGATCTGTTAAACATATAGCTCAATGATTTATTAAACAATGAACCACACAGTGATTGTAGTGCTTTGAAAATGCTAATCTATCAGGCTTGTGGTCATCCAGAACTCCACCCAGCCTTCAGGCTCTCTCTCTCGACACTAACAACTCTTTAATGAGAGTCGAATTTAAGATCACTAATGATATAATCATTTACTGTGTTGGCCAGAAAGTGCATTATCCACCATGAATACAGTGGAAAGAGTTCTCAAAAGTACAGAGAGCTGTTTCAATATAAATATTTAGAAAATAATCATGTTAAGTGTAAATTTGGGAAGACTTACAATCAGTATGAAAATTTCCAAACTTATTTTATGTTGACGAAGGATGGCAGGGTGGCAGGGGTGTGGCGACCATCCATGGATGGCAGGGGTGTGGCAACCATCTATGAGTGGCAGGTGTGTGGCGACCATACATGGGAGGCAGGTGTGTGGCGACCATCCATGGATGGCAGGTGTGTGGCGACCATCCATGGATGGCAGGTGTGTGGCGACCATCCATGGATGGCAGGTGTGTGGCGACCATCCATGGATGGCAGGTGTGTGGCGACCATACATGGGAGGCAGGTCAGGCTTGATAACGGTCTAGGCCGGACCGAAACATCGTCGTCTCTCCATCTTCTGGTGTGTGTGTGGGTTGGTCATCATATATCCAGCCACTTTATGGTGATTTATCGTCTGGAATAACTAACTGTTGTGGGAGGCATTCTGGGAGACATCAGTTACTGGCCCAAGAGGGACTTTGAAAACCTTAACAGGTTTTCTTTCCTCGACAAAAGGAACTATTTCTCTCTAGAGGAACGTGGGATTGATTGATTTAAGAAAAGGATAGACATATATGAATAAGTTTGGATGGATTTAAATCAGAGCTGCTTCGTTGGGCCAATTGGCCTTCTGTAATTTCCTCTATTCTTGTCCCTTATTCTTTATTCCTCAGGATGTGATGACAATCAGGTTTAAACCACGACGTTCAAAACCAATCAGGTTTACAAGAACATTTGGGTTAATCGGGGAAAAATAGATCTGCGTACTAATCAGAGGTGACAAGGGCTTACTGACCAATCATTGAAAACCAGGACGCCGTGGGCCAATCAGAAGAAACAACAAAGTATTTAGAAATCAATGGGAAATACTGACGCCAGGACGAATAGGGGCAAGATAAGCTTCATTTCCCCAATCAGGGAGAAAAAGACTTAGGGATTGCTTGCTGGAATCCCTCTGGCGTCGAAACCAATCCCTGGTGGAAATGATATACACCCGGAAAGAAGGACGTGCAGGCCAGTCCAAAAACATCCAAACCAATCATCGGTTACATGCACAACCGAACCAATCACGAGTAGCAAGGACAACCGAACCAATCACGGGTAGCAAGGACAACCGAACCAATCACGAGTAGCAAGGACAACCGAACCAATCACGGGTAGCAAGGACAACCGAACCAATCACGAGTAGCAAGGACAACCGAACCAATCACGGGTAGCAAGGACAACCGAACCAATCACCGGTACGAAGGACATATAGACTAATTACCTTATACGAGAAAGGAAGACGTTAACCCTTAGAGAGCATAAGTTGCGACACCACATTATCCGCTTGTATTCTTGCAAGATCTTGCAACATTGGATCTTGCAACACTGGATCTTGCGTCACTTGCGCCTCATCAACCTCAACTACTCCTCCGTAAGCCCGTAAATCCTGTAAGTAGAAAATACGTGTATTGTTGAGCAAAGTATGAATACGTTATTAACCTACATTGTGAATGCGTCTTAATTCGCATATGGGACCGGTTGGTTGCGCCATGTTAGAAATGTTTCCGGTTCTCAACTCAGACTGAATCTACCTTATCAACGTTGATTTACGCATGAGAGGGGGTAAAACGATAAACATTGATGTTATTGTTAGGTTAACTTAACAAATTTTTTAGTTAGTTTTTATTTTTGGAGGTAAGAAGGCTTGTCGAGGCCCCTCTCTCCCCTTAGCTCATCCCCAAGATGCGACCCACAGCAGTTACCTAATTCCAGGGTACCTATTTACTGCTAGGTAAACAGAGTTCTTCGTATGTAAGGAAACTAGGTAAAATCTCTCAACTCGCGCAGGAGCCTAACCTGGGACTATGCGTTGCTGGAGCTTCTGTCAGACACTAGCAGACTTCGGATGGACTACGAGGCTATCTTGTAACAGCCTTCAGTGAATAAAATAGTTACCAAGCTAAGAGAATCGCGTTATTTGATTGGCCACTCACACGTGAGTTCAAATGTGTTTTAAGAAGAGCTGGGTTTCTACTAATCTCTTAGCGGTAGATTTGTATATTTGTGATGATGGATTGAGATATCGTTAGTATGAATAGTGCAAACAATAAGGCAGTTTATTTTTATGAGAACTTGAGCACTTCTGAATGATTGTTTGTGCACTGTCAACACTTACTGCCCTGCTGGTAACATTAGATAGTTTATCTCTTAGAACTATAGATGTTGATTCTCACTTGATCGACATATTCAACTCTTTCGTATATGGATAAATTTTCAATTCTTCGCAGGTAAATACTGGTTTGGAAACAGTATTGTAAATTCATGGAACAACATAATAATATAGAGATGGTCTCGTTGAATTGTTTCAAGCGCAGGTTAGACATATATTTGACCGAATTTGGGTGCATATAAACAAACTGCCTCATATGGGCCAAACACCCTACAGTTTCCTTAATTTTGTTATTATATTCGTTATTTTTTATGGTTCTTGTGTCTTGCGCTCGAAAAATTATCTTTGTGGCTTCATTTTATACTTTTTCTAGTTTTTTCGTTTAGCTCTAGAAAGATTAATTTGATACTGTGTATATTTAATACAAGTACTGAAGTTTTTTTCACAGATGTTAGTTTCTTTTCAAGATAACTTAGACTGAAACTGACAGGTGAATCTCTAATAAGTTGCGGTTCTGAATTGCTTTGCAAAATAAAAATCTGAAATGTGTTTATTAATATACATTTGTGTTTACACTTTGATGAATATATAGTCGGTGCAGATCACAGAAATATTGCATTTAGATCAAATCGGCCAGACTGATAAAGCAAGAATTTAGCACCTCTGAACGATCAGTCTTAAAGTCAAACCACCTCTGTTTTCGGTACAAAATTGAAACTTTTTAAGTTCGTGAACAACAGACTATTGGTTACAAAAGCCATTAAAAACTTTACCAGCTTACTTTTATAGCATGCAAATGAAAGTTCACCGTCAGGAAAGTTGCTGTTGAAAGTCTATGTTTAAATAAGGAGATGATTCAACTGACTTACAGTAAAGATTATAGATATCTGTTTTAGAAACAAAGATTTCAACAGCTAACTCTTTCTTTGTTTTTTTTTACACAGGTGGGTACAGGATTAGATGAAATCTGACTCCTGTTGTCAGACGTCGGGGAAGACGTCTCCCGTCACGTAGGGTGCGGTTGCACCTCTACAGATCTCCAGTATCAGCTAATGATACTGGTAATGGCTCGAAAGGGCCACCACTTACGGGCTATTCATGCCCGTGCCACCTTTTAGGTGGATTACTCTTCATCATCACTCCTGGTGGCAGACTGAGAACTTTCCCTTCCTAGAGCTCATGGTAAGCCTCACCCCTGCAACTTTCCCTGGAATACGACTCGCTAATCAGTTTTACTCCCAGGTCCACATTTACTGCTGAGGGAACAGAGGCCAAGAGCTATGGATTAGTTCCCAGTTAGTCCTCCTCCGGTTTTGTCCCGGGGTGAGAGTGTATTCACCTAGTTGTATTCAGCTAGTTGTGTTTGCGGGGGTTGAGCTCTTCTCTTTCGGCCCGCTTCTCAACTGCCAATCAATGAACTGTTACTAACTACTAACTAATTTTTTTCACACACACACCTGGGATGCAGCCCGTAACAGCAGTCTAACTCCCAGGTACCTATTTACTGCTAGGTGAATAGAGGCATGAGATGAAAGGAAACGCTGGCAATTTGTTTCTGCGCTCTCTCTCTCTCTCTCTCTCTCTCTCTCTCTCTCTCTCTCTCTCTCTCTCTCTCTCTCTCTCTCTCTCTCTCTCTCTCTTGGTGCACAAATGATGTAGTTAAGTCATTACCTCAACCTCAGTAACATGTAAGCAATGAAGAAATGTCTGGGTAAGTTGCATCAGTGACGAAACAGCTTGGGCTTAGAGAAGATTACTGACAGAAAACACAGAGAACCACCACTGCTCAGAGTGTCACGGTCAGGTCTTCTGAATGTGTAATCACAACATATATATTTGGGTCAGCCGTAATCTTGTATAATAACAGAGGGTCGGAGTTCTAATAAATTCCCAGCTATTCACAGTTATATATGAGTGAACTAGCCTGTGGGGTCCAAGCCTGTGGGGCTTGGACCCCACAGGCTTGTGGGGTCCAAGACTGTGGGCCCCACAGGCTTGTCCCCCATGTTATTTAAAGTGACGACGTCCTCATCACTTCACCGGTGTTTGTCTCTGTTTTCATATTCATGTGTTGTTCAACAATTGCAATCGTTGCTTGCAAGTTGATCTAGGAACTACGGGCTCACCATAGCCCGTGCTAATTGGAATTTTTTGTTCCACGTAGCAAATCTTAAACAACAACATGATCTAGGAACCTAAGTAAGATTGATATATTCCTCCAATATCTAGGTAGTTACAGTTTGATAAGTTAATGTTATTGTGTATTTTACTATTTGCATTTACTATTTATACCTGCAGGTGTGAGCTCTTAGCTCCTGGACTCTGCCTTACTAACCGTCGGTTGTCAAATAATCGGTGTTATTAAATTTGGACAAACCGGAAAAGTTTTTGCACTGATGTTGCAAAGAAAACTGAACCAAGTCAAACCTTGCTAGGCCTAATACACGCTATCTGAGGTCCAACATAGTACATATATGTACTATACTAGGCCTAGAAATATTTTAGCTTGGTTTTTAGCTTTATTTTCTCGGATTTCATAAGTTGAATAGTACCAAATTCTACTATCTAATTGTCCATTAGGTCTATGTATGTACTGTGGTTCACACAGTTAGAAATAGTAACTGTGCAGTTGTGTGTGTACTCACCTAGTTGTGCTTGCTGGGGTTGAGCTCTGGCTCTTTGGTTCCGCCTCTCAACTGTCAATCAACTGGTGTACAGGTTCCTGAGTCTACTGGGTTCTGTCATAGTGTGTGTGTGTGTGTGTGTGTGTGTGTTTATGCTCGTAAAATTAGGATTATTTTCTCGTTTATTTTTCACGTATTGTATCATAAAAAAACACAACGTGGAACGCCTTCATAACTTCAATATGAAACTAGTCTCAATAGGAAAGTAGTCACAATAGCAAATTAGCCACATTAGGAAAGTAGCAACAGGAGGAAAGTAGCCATAAGACAACCCAATTTGACCTCGACGTGATGGTGTGAGGGAGATGGGGCGGGGGAGTGTGGTGTGGGCGTGTCCTGGAAGGGAGGGAAGGGGCTGGCATCACAATATATAAGCCAGGGTGTAGGCGCCTCTCACCATCACTCTTCAGCCATGGCTCTCAAAGTGCGCAAATACTCTAATCACTCGTTTTTGTCCGGATAACTGAGCGCTTATTGTGTTGTCGACAGCGTTCGTGGATATTTTCTTGTTATCGTCTATGATACATAACTCTGATTAGTAAACAAATCCACAAGGGCCGTGACGAGGATTCGAACCTGCGTCCGGGAGCATCCCAGACGCTGTCTTAATCGACTGAGCTACGACATGGTAAAAGAGTTGAAACCGAAGTTCTGCTGAACTTACTAGAACATCAGTAGAACTTCGGTTTCAACTCTTTTTACTATGTTGTAGCTCAGTCGATTAAGGCAGCGTCTGGGATGCTCCCGGACGCAGGTTCGAATCCTCGTCACGGCCCTTGTGGATTTGTTCATTTGATGCATCACGCTATTGTGATTTCTGTGTGTGCTCTGATTAGTGTTTGTTATCTGTGCTTTTATTGCTGAGAAGTTTGAAATATGTTGCAAAAGTGCAGGCGATGAGTCACAATAACGTGGCTAAAGTATGTTGACCTGGGGCCAGATTCACGAAAGCACTTACACAAGCACTTACGAACGTGTACATCTTTCCTCAAAATTTGACGGCTTTGGTTACATTTATTAAACAGTTTACAAGCATGAAAACTTGCCAATCAACTGTTGTTATTGTTATAAACAGCCTCCTGGTGCTTCGGAGCCCATTAACTGATTAATAATTGGAAACAAAGCCGCCAAAGATTGAGTAAAGATGTACAGGTTCGTAAGTGCTTGCGTAAGTGCTTTTGTGAATCTGGCCCCAGACCGTCGTCGTCCCTTCACCTTCTAGTGTGTGGTCTGGTCAACATGTTGCAAAAGTCATTGTACTTGAATATGATAAAATTATTATGGTTTAATATTAGTGTTGAGGGAATACGTTCCTTGGTGTTAACGCGAGCCGTGTGTAGTAATACTTTTTTATTTTGTGGATTAATTAATGTGGATGTGTTACAGAACTTGTTGGTGGCGAGTGTGGCGGTGTTGGCGATGGCAGAGCCGCCCCCAAGATACCCAGACCCTACTCCATATGCCCCGGTACCCTCATACCCTTCCCACTCACGATACCCAAAAGAAGAATACCAGGTCGTAAGTAGCAGACTTCTGAATGAGTATTTAGATTACTAATATTACCCTCTGAAGATCATGTCTTCTCAAACAAAATATAGGCTATTAGTTGTCTCTCAATGTTTCTTCGCTTTCTTGCTAAACATTTTATTCCATTTATAATACTCCGTAAGTCTTTATAGTGCTAAGATTATAGTCTTCAGATCACGTCTTTTCACGTAAAATATAGGCTATCGTTGCTCATTTAAAAGTTTTCTTAGTGTTTTTTTGACTACGCATCTAAGTCCATAAACGTGCCTCTCTGACACCTTTTCAGCCAACACCAAGAATTCTTGACCTTAAGTTAATTAACTTAACACTACTATGATCACTCTTTATTTATCAAATGTTGTATCCTTCTTGTTGGTAGTATAAGCTCCAGCGCCTCATGTTGACGGACTATTCCCCAGATCCTACCCAAATACGCCTTCAATTATGGCGTCTCAGATGAGTACTCGGGCACCAACTTCGGCCACTCTGAGGTCCGCGACGGCTACAAGACTGAGGGCAGCTACTCGGTGGACCTCCCAGACGGTCGCAAACAGATCGTCAATTACGTGGACAATGGTGATGGTCTGGAGGCCCAGGTCACCTACGAGGGAGAAGCCCACTATCCGGAGTATAAGCCAGAGTATCAACCCGCCCCTGTGTACAAACCCAAACCCGCTTATTCGCCGTATGAACCTGAACCTGTTTACAAACCTGCTCCCGCCTACAAGCCAGTCCCCACCTATCGGCCTGCCCCCAGTTATGAACCAATTCCAAAATATCCAACTCCTATCTACGAACCGGCTCCTACTTATAAGCCTGTGTCTAACTATCCACCTCCAGCCTATGAAGAGGATGCTAGCTATCCACCTCCAGCTTACAAGCCTGCCCCTAGTTATCCACCTCCAGCTTATGGGTTGTCTCCAAGTTACCCTGACCTTAGTTACATCCCCACCTACCTCGAAAATAGCGATCCTGACTATAATCCTGACCCAAACTATGCTTAAGGCAGCACCTCGGTGGGGCAGCACTTGTTCTACACGTCAGTTGAACCGCTCAAGGGTAATGTATGAATGTTTCTAGTTTCATTAAAGACTTTTTCAAAAATACCAGTTTATATATTTCCTCACACATACCGAGTCTCCAAGAAGAGTTTCATTGCTAAAATAGATTTAAAAATTATCTCAATGGGGAACTCCTTACATTTTTTGTGGGTAGAATGTAATTATGTGTTAATTGGCTGTTGATTGCTGGATTGATTACCCAGCAGTCAACAGCCAATTAACACATAATTTCATTCAACCCCACTTCAAGACCCCGAACCAACACAGAAATAAGAAGATAAAACACGCAATATACCCATTGTTTGGTGTTCTGTCTTTGCCCATTGGTTTGTGTCTTGTCACCTCACACAAAAAAACGAATATAAGTACGATCTGAGTCAGGTGTTGACAAAGGCCCCGGGGATACGAACCCATGACAAAGCGCTCGCGGAACGCCAGGCGAGTGTCTTACCAGTGTTGCCAGATTGGGCTACAAGTAGCGAATTGGGCTACTTTTGAGAGCCCCGCGCTCTCAAATTTTAATTTCGCTACTTGCTGGTTTTTGGGCTAGTTTAAAAACAAGATGGGCTAATTTGGGCGATTAATGTTAAGAAACTTAATGGTGATTATTTATGGTCAGGTGCAACACACACAAGCACCCCGCGATAGCAGCCACAGACTGACGACTCAAATGCGAGCACAGCACGCAGTATATCCTTTCATGACCAAAGATTACATTCAACCCCCCCCCCAAAAAAAAATCTTCCACTTACGGGCTATTCATGCCCGTGAGTAAATTTAGGGAAACCATGGAACCACCTTCCCGACGAAGCCGTAAATGATAAAACATTGCTCGATAAAATCGCCAGGGTAAATAGGGGACATTTGACAAGCCGCCGGCTTCCTATCCTCACAGAGATAGTGACCCTCTGGAAAATTCAGGTAAATCTTGGCTAATTGAAACACTTTAATGCGCGCGCGCCCCATGAAAAAAAAATAGTGCATTGTGCGCGCGGCGTTTTGGGCTCTTGAGCGTAAACACCAAAAAGTGTGTAATCTTTTCACTCTTCTGACACCAATTCTCAAGCTACGTATTTCATTTTGGTATCACTGTGTTGGCAATAAAATTCTCCACAAGATCATATGTATAACATGTCACCAAAGCATTAGCTATCCCACCACGAAATAAATAAAATGTAGATCACTCGCCGTGACGCCCAAACAGCAACAAAATGTTCATACTCTTTTGTTTGTTGTCAGCTCCACATTAGTCCTACAGCGTTATATTTTATATCACTGAACTCGCAATAAAATTCCCTACATAGACATATGCATATAAATGTAGAATCATGATCGCGGCCCACAACAAGAGTGTGTGAAGTGGGCAATTACCCTCGTTGTGTCAACACCTCAATAGTCTCTCCACTAAGTTACAATACAATGCCGTTTTCTCAAATAGGCCATGTGCCTATTAGAGAAAACGGAAATTTAATGGCAAACATTTTCATACTAACCCCAAGTCGATCGAATAAGAATTGGATTTTATGTTTTTTTTTACATCGGCCGGCTATTTACGGCGCGATTGCGGAACCCGTTAGCCAAGCCAGTTGTGTATTTACGGCGCGGTTGCGTTAATAATTATATAATTATTAAGTAATCCTGAAATGTTTGTTTATTGAAAGCAGAGCTGTGTTAGCAGCATTATACTCTCTGAGCAAAGCGATGCACTGCTGCCCCCCGACCCAGACGGTGGTCACTGGGGCCCATGCCTGTGGACCTGTACTTAAAACCACGTTCTCGTCTGCGGACCCTCCCTACTTTGGTAGGGCTCTCGGTGTGCTTGGTAGAGTTAGGGGCGTGTTTGTCTGGTTAGATGAGGTATTTGTTTGCTAGGCTTGTGGGTACACAACTGGTCGGGATATGGTCGTTTCCAATATGAGACGATTCGGCTAAATTCATTTTCTGTTTTAAAACCGGATGTATTGTTATGCTAGGCTGCATTAGGTTATGTTATTAAGGTTAGGCTGCATTGGGCTCGGTTGGATTAGATTGGTTGGATTTGGGTTACGTTAGGTTGGGTTGAGCTAGGTTAGTCAGGTTTTAAAATTCAAAATTCCCGCCACGAAGCAGCCTCTATATGGCGTAGTGGTAAAGCAGGCGCCCGGCTCGTCGGCAGCACTTTGACCTGGATTCGTATCCTGGCCGTATGATATTCAGATCTATAAACTACTTTAGAAAGGCCTATAATGCATATTAATATAAATTTACACACTCCTGGCGCTATACGCTATAATATAAAATTTAAATATTTTTTAAATTTAAATATGGTGTTCAAATAATTTTAGGCAGAGGGTCTCTGGGTCGGTTGGTCGCTAACGGTCATTTGACCATGACCCCGCCAGTCGTCAGGAAGCAGCGGCGGAGTGAACTACGTCGTTCCCCTCTAGGTAAGGCTGATCATTTTTTTTTTTTTTTTTTACTAATATATCTCAGCAGTTGGGAGGTACGCATGAATATATAGTCTACCTCCACCTACAATGCTTAATGCATTATACATTTGTTCGCTATTATAACACAGAGTTTTAGTAATGTCTCCGAGGGTCACTATTTCCGTAATTTTTTTTTCATCCGGGTTCTGTAGTATTCAAATGTTTGTATTCCAATAATGCTAAATAGTCTGTCCTCTCTCGGATTATGTGGAAGATTTTTGAGATATATACAAGAGTTGTTACATTCTTGTACAGCCACTAGTACGCGTAGCGTTTCGGGCAGGTCCCTGGAATACGATCCCCGCCGCGAAGAATCGTTGTTACAACCAAGTACACATTATACTGTTGAGTTAAACAGAGGCTACAGTTAAGGATTTGCGCCCAGTAAATCCCCCCCAGCCAGGATACGAATTTTGAGGATCATGATTTGCCAACATTATATGGGTAGGATATTATGTAGAAGAATCTTTCCCAGAGTGTTAAACTGCCCCGTCGTCAGGCTAGGCTCGTTAACGGGGCGGTCGACCTCCCCCCCCCCCCCCCCCCACCCTTCCAAGACGCATTTATTATCGACTTTCATGTACTGTGTATTAAAAAAAAGATTCGTTCATGCTAGGCTTGGGGTTACACAACTGGTCGGGGTCCGGTTATACAACTGGTGGGGCATCGGTTATACAACTGGTCGGGCTCCGGTTAAATAACTTGTCGGGGTCCGATTATATAACTCGTCGGGCTCCGGTTACACAACTGGTCAGGCTCCGGGGGTGTCATTGGGGCTTAGGGTTCTGCATGGTCTGGTTTCGGTTCATGCATGGTTGTGATCCAGAGGTTGTTTGGTTCGTTCATGCTAGGTTTGTGGTTACACAACTGGTCGGGGTCCGGTTACACAACTAGTGGGGCTTCGGTTACACAACTGGTCGGGCTCCGGTTAAATAACTGGTCGGGCTCCGGTTATCATAACTGGTCGGGCTCCGGTTATCTTAACTGGTCGGGCTCCGGGGGTGTCACTGGGGCTTAGGGTTGTGCATGATCGGGCTTCGGTTCGTGCATGGTTGTGCTCCAGGGGTTGTGTGTTAGTGCCTCATGTTTCTTTGCTGGATCATCAGGTTGTTTCTTGACTATGACTAATTGCATGTTTATTTTCTAGGGCTTCATTGTTGTATTTTTGCAAGAGTTCCAGGTTTCTTTTTGTGTATAGGGCTCAATTGTTTGTTTGGTTTGGCTCCAAAGTTAGCTCTTAAGGCAAGGGTGTTAGGTAGGGCTAAGGAAGGCTTTGTTTGGTAAACCTAGGGAGGGAGTTTGGTTAGGCTCTGGAGCTGTTTGTTTGGCTTGGTGTGGGTTTGATGAGTTGTTTGCATGCTAGGCTTGCAGTTACACAACTGGTCGGGCTCTGGGGGTGTCACTGGGGCTTCGGTTCATGCATGGTTGTGATCCAGAGGTTGTTTGGTTCGTTCATGCTAGGTTTGTGGTTACACAACTGGTCGGGGTCCGGTTACACAACTAGTGGGGCTTCGGTTACACAACTGGTCGGGCTCCGGTTAAATAACTGGTCGGGCTCCGGTTATCATAACTGGTCGGGCTCCGGTTATCTTAACTGGTCGGGCTCCGGGGGTGTCACTGGGGCTTAGGGTTGTGCATGATCGGGCTTCGGTTCGTGCATGGTTGTGCTCCAGGGGTTGTGTGTTAGTGCCTCATGTTTCTTTGCTGGATCATCAGGTTGTTTCTTGACTATGACTAATTGTATGTTTATTTTCTAGGGTTTCATTGTTGTATTTTTGCAAGAGTTCCAGGTTTCTTTTTGTGTATAGGGCTCAATTGTTTGTTTGGTTTGGCTCCAAAGTTAGCTCTTAAGGCAAGGGTGTTAGGTAGGGCTAAGGAAGTCTTTGTTTGGTAGACCTAGGGAGGGAGTTTGGTTAGACTCTGGGCTGTTTGTTTGGCTTGGTGTGGGTTTGATGAGTTGTTTGCATGCTAGGCTTGCAGTTACACAACTGGTTGGGATCCGGTTAAATAACTGGTCGGGCTCCGGTTACACAACTGGTCGGGCTCTGGGGGTGTCACTGGGGCTTCGGTTCATGCATGGTTGTGATCCAGAGGTTGTTTGGTTCGTTCATGCTAGGTTTGTGGTTACACAACTGGTCGGGGTCCGGTTACACAACTAGTGGGGCTTCGGTTACACAACTGGTCGGGCTCCGGTTAAATAACTGGTCGGGCTCCGGTTATCATAACTGGTCGGGCTCCGGTTATCTTAACTGGTCGGGCTCCGGGGGTGTCACTGGGGCTTAGGGTTGTGCATGATCGGGCTTCGGTTCGTGCATGGTTGTGCTCCAGGGGTTGTGTGTTAGTGCCTCATGTTTCTTTGCTGGATCATCAGGTTGTTTCTTGACTATGACTAATTGCATGTTTATTTTCTAGGGCTTCATTGTTGTATTTTTGCAAGAGTTCCAGGTTTCTTTTTGTGTATAGGGCTCAATTGTTTGTTTGGTTTGGCTCCAAAGTTAGCTCTTAAGGCAAGGGTGTTAGGTAGGGCTAAGGAAGTCTTTGTTTGGTAGACCTAGGGAGGGAGTTTGGTTAGACTCTGGGCTGTTTGTTTGGCTTGGTGTGGGTTAGATGAGTTGTTTGCATGCTAGGCTTGCAGTTACACAACTGGTTGGGATCCGGTTAAATAACTGATCGGGCTCCGGTTACACAACTGGTCGGGCTCTGGGGGTGTCACTGGGGCTTCGGTTCATGCATGGTTGTGATCCAGAGGTTGTTTGGTTCGTTCATGCTAGGTTTGTGGTTACACAACTGGTCGGGGTCCGGTTACACAACTAGTGGGGCTTCGGTTACACAACTGGTCGGGCTCCGGTTAAATAACTGGTCGGGCTCCGGTTATCATAACTGGTCGGGCTCCGGTTATCTTAACTGGTCGGGCTCCGGGGGTGTCACTGGGGCTTAGGGTTGTGCATGATCGGGCTTCGGTTCGTGCATGGTTGTGCTCCAGGGGTTGTGTGTTAGTGTCTCATGTTTCTTTGCTGGATCATCAGGTTGTTTCTTGACTATGACTAATTGCATGTTTATTTTCTAGGGCTTCATTGTTGTATTTTTGCAAGAGTTCCAGGTTTCTTTTTGTGTATAGGGCTCAATTGTTTGTTTGGTTTGGCTCCAAAGTTAGCTCTTAAGGCAAGGGTGTTAGGGCTAAGGAAGGCTTTGTTTGGTAAACCTAGGGAGGGAGTTTGGTTAGGCTCTGGAGCTGTTTGTTTGGCTTGGTGTGGGTTTGATGAGTTGTTTGCATGCTAGGCTTGCAGTTACACAACTGGTTGGGATCCGGTTAAATAACTGGTCGGGCTCCGGTTACACAACTGGTCGGGCTCTGGGGGTGTCACTCGGGCTTCGGTTCATGCATGGTTGTGATCCAGAGGTTGTTTGGTTCGTTCATGCTAGGTTTGTGGTTACACAACTGGTCGGGGTCCGGTTACACAACTAGTGGGGCTTCGGTTACACAACTGGTCGGGCTCCGGTTAAATAACTGGTCGGGCTCCGGTTATCATAACTGGTCGGGCTCCGGTTATCTTAACTGGTCGGGCTCCGGGGGTGTCACTGGGGCTTAGGGTTGTGCATGATCGGGCTTCGGTTCGTGCATGGTTGTGCTCCAGGGGTTGTGTGTTAGTGCCTCATGTTTCTTTGCTGGATCATCAGGTTGTTTCTTGACTATGACTAATTGCATGTTTATTTTCTTGGGCTTCATTGTTGTATTTTTGCAAGAGTTCCAGGTTTCTTTTTGTGTATAGGGCTCAATTGTTTGTTTGGTTTGGCTCCAAAGTTAGCTCTTAAGGCAAGGGTGTTAGGTAGGGCTAAGGAAGGCTTTGTTTGGTAGACCTAGGGAGGGAGTTTGGTTAGGCTCTGGAGCTGTTTGTTTGGCTTGGTGTGGGTTTGATGAGTTGTTTGCATGCTAGGCTTGCAGTTACACAACTGGTTGGGATCCGGTTAAATAACTGGTCGGGCTACGGTTACACAACTGGTCGAGCTCTGGGGGTGTCACTGGGGCTTCGGTTCATGCATGGTTGTGATCCAGAGGTTGTTTGGTTCGTTCATGCTAGGTTTGTGGTTACACAACTGGTCGGGGTCCGGTTACACAACTAGTGGGGCTTCGGTTACACAACTGGTCGGGCTCCGGTTAAGTAACTGGTCGGGCTCCGGTTATCATAACTGGTCGGGCTCCGGTTATCTTAACTGGTCGGGCTCCGGGGGTGTCACTGGGGCTTAGGGTTGTGCATGATCGGGCTTCGGTTCATGCATGGTTGTGATCCAGAGGTTGTTTGGTTCGTTCATGGTAGGTTTGTTGTTCCAGAACTGGTCGGGCTCCGGTTACTTAACTGGTCGGGCTCCGGTTACTTAACTGGTCGGGCTCCAGGGGTGCCACTGGGGCTTAGGGTTGTGCATGATCGGGCTTCGGTTCATGCATGGTTGTGATCCAGAGGTTGTTTGGTTCGTTCATGCTAGGTTTGTGGTTACACAACTGGTCGGGGTCCGGTTACACAACTAGTGGGGCTTCGGTTACACAACTGGTCGGGCTCCGGTTAAATAACTGGTCGGGCTCCGGTTACACAACTGGTCGGGCTCCGGTTACTTAACTGGTCGGGCTCCGGGGGTGTCACTGGGGCTTAGGGTTGTGCATGATCGGGCTTCGGTTCTTGCATGGTTGTGATCCAGAGGTTGTTTGGTTCGTTCATGGTAGGTTTGTTGTTACACAACTGGTCGGGCTCCGTTTACTTAACTGGTCGGGCTCCGGGGGTGTCACTGGGGCTTAGGGTTGTGCATGATCGGGCTTCGGTTCATGCATGGTTGTGATCCAAAGGTTGTTTGGTTCGTTCTTGGTAGGTTTGTTGTTACACAACTGGTCGGGCTCCGGTTACTTAACTGGTCGGGCTCCGGGGGTGTCACTGGGGCTTAGGGTTGTGCATGATCGGGCTTCGGTTCATGCATGGTTGTGATTCAGAGGTTGTTTGGTTCGTTCATGCTAGGTTTGTGGTTACGCAACTGGTCGGGGTCCGGTTACACAACTAGTGGGGCTTCGGTTACACAACTGGTCGGGCTCCGGTTAAATAACTGGTCGGGCTCCGGTTAAATAACTGGTCGGGCTCCGGTTACTTAACTGGTCGGGCTCCGGGGGTGTTACTGGGGCTTAGGGTTGTGCATGATCGGGCTTCGGTTCATGCATGGTTGTGATCCAGAGGTTGTTTGGTTCGTTCATGGTAGGTTTGTGGTTACACAACTGGTCGGGGTCCGGTTACACAACTAGTGGGGCTTCGGTTACACATCTGATCGGGCTCCGGTTAAATAACTGATCGGGCTCCGGTTATCATAACTGGTCGGGCTCCGGTTATCTTAACTGGTCGGGCTCCGGGGGTGTCACTGGGGCTTAGGGTTGTGCATGATCGGGCTTCGGTTCGTGCATGGTTGTGCTCCAGGGGTTGTGTGTTAGTGTCTCATGTTTCTTTGCTGGATCATCAGGTTGTTTCTTGACTATGACTAATTGTATGTTCATTTTCTAGGGCTTTATTGTTGTATTTTTGCAAGAATTTCAGGTTTCTTTTTGTGTATAGGGCTCAATTGTTTGTTTGGTTTGGCTCCAAAGTTAGTTCTTAAGGCAAGGGTGTTAGGTAGGGCTAAGGAAGGCTTTGGTAGAGCTAGGGAGGGAGTTTGGTTAGGCTCTGGGCTGTTTGTTTGGCTTGGTGTGGGTTTGATGAGTTGTTTGCATGCTAGGCTTGCAGTTACACAACTGGTTGGCTTTCGGTTACACATCTGGTGAGGCTCCGGTTCCAGAACTGGTCAGGCTTTGGTTACACAACTGGTTGGGCTCTGGTTACAAAACTTTTTTGGCTTCGGGGATGTCATTTGGGCTTCGGTTCGTGCATGGTTGTGATCCAGAGGTTGTTTGGGTATTATTATTATAATATATAATATATATATATATATATATATATATATATATATATATATATATATATATATATATATATATATATATATATAATTGTGTGTGTGGTGTGTGTGCAGAAATAATATTAATAAAACAATTAACATCGTGCAGTGTACCTGTATATCAAAATAATATTACGTTGCAACCCGTATCAGTCACTAAAAATAATTGGGCTACTCTTATTACAAATTCGCTACTTGTAGTCCGTCAGCTCGCTAATTTCAGCAATTTGTATCTGGCAACCCTGTGTCTTACCACTACACCACAGAGACTGTTCATATAAAGTTACGTCCATAACATTACTGAACTTCATTTAGTAAGTAGAAGATTTTAAAAATGAATATCATTATACTGTGGTGTTAATATTAATCAAAACGAATACGAAACGTTTTCATTTTGTGCCCGAAATGCTATAATCTGTGTGTTGAGTACCGTGAGGTGACGAGTAGTGGAGAGTCAGCGGGTGAATTTTAATAAGTGCTGCCGGTCAGCTGGGTGGTGCTGACACAATTGTCACGGTACGTGAACAGTCTCGGGGGGCCTCTCTCAGAAATGTTTGGTAATATGTTTATTGTTTGTGACGTGTCTATATAACAGGTTGTACTGAACGCGGTGTGGTGCTACCTCATCCCTTTGTGTGTATTTTACCTCAATTAACTTATTTGATTTCAATTTCGGGCCTCTAGTGTTGCTGGAGCTCTCTCAGGGTACTGTTGCTGCCCTTCAGCCGGGGTGTTCTGTACATCCTTAGTTTAGTTCAGAAAACGAGAGTATCCCTGTCCATAAATGTGGTGATCTCACTCATGTCAACTTCACATCTTCAGTATATCAATTCTGCCAAACTTGTCTAAAATATTTGTAAAGCTAATCTACAAGCAGCTTTACTCTTATCTAGCCAAACACAATATACTTAGCTCTTTCCAATATGGCTTCAGACCCAAAAAAATCACAAACGATGCGCTTATTAGTATGATTAACTTGATACATGCAGCTCTTGATAAAAATGAGTTCCCTGTTGGGTTATTTGTGGACCTGCATAAGGCTTTAGACACTGTCAACCACCAAAACCTTCTTCTTAAATTACATCATTATGGAGTCAGAAGTCACTCCCTGCAATATCTTCAGTCTTACCTTACTGACAGCTCCAGTATGTTTCTGTGAATAATTCCATTTCTCCCACCCTACCCATCAACATTGGTATTCCTCAGCACAGCATACATGGCCCTCTCCTCTTTACCATCTACATTAATGACCTTCCAAATGCCTCCCAACACCTCAAACCAATAATATTTGCTGACCACACAACCTTCATTTACTCCAGTCCTGACCCCCTTGCTTTAAATGTCACAGTGAATACTGAGGTAAATAAAGTCCATCTTTGGCTAACTGCCAACAAACTCACCCTTAACATTGATAAAACTTTCTATATTTTGTTTGGTAATAAATCCTCAAATCAAATTAATCTAAGTACAAACAATATACAAATTAGTAACGAAGTAGATGGAAAATTCCTTGGCGTTCTCATTGACCACACGCTGAATTTCCAGGGACACATTCTAAATATAGCAAAAAAAGTTTCTAAAACTGTTGGCATTCTTTCTAAGATCAGATATTATGTACCTCGCCCTGGCCTGGTGACGCTCTATTACTCTCTCACCTATCCTTATCTCAACTATGGTATTTGTGCTTGGGGTTCTACTACCCAAAATCATTTACGTCCTCTAATTACTCAACACATAGCTGCTATTAAGACAATATCTAACTCTGGCCCCAGACAGCACTCAGTACCCTTACTCAAATCTCTGAATATGTTAGATATTAAGTCTGCACATCCTCTCATGTGTACTCTATATATTTAAAACTCTGGAATTGTAATGTCGATCCTGACCTTAAAAGCTTCCTAGAAGGTTGTAACAGAACTCATGAGCACCACACCAGAAACAAATACCTATTTGATATTCCAAGAGTGTGACTTAACCAAAATAGAAATGCTCTACAAATCAAGGGAACCAGAATGTGGAATGACCTTCCCAATCATGTCAAAGGCTGTACCTCTCACAACCAGTTTAATGAAGAAAATATTAGTATATTTACCCATGTTATTATAAGTTTCATATAAATTTACATTTTGTATTAAAAATTACCTTTAATAATTATATGTATTGCATTTGAGCCCTGTACAGCTATATTTTTACTTGTATACACGTTTTATTTTCAGACTCCTATTGAATGCGCATGAAGTGAAACGTGGAAATGGGTACTGTGAGTATCTTCATTGTCTTTTGTCTTTGCTTCAGCAGGATCAAGCTGTTAGCTCTTGGACCCTGCCTTACTAACCGTCGGTTACCTAATTCATTTTGTTGGGGACAGGCTGTGTAATTACCTAAGTGTAGTTACAGGATGAGCTATGCTCGTGGTGTCCCGTCCTCCCAGCACTGTCACATAACGCTTTGAAACTACTGACGGTTTTGGCCTCCTTCTCACTTAATTTGTTCCAACCGTCTACCACTCTGTTTGTGAAAGTGAATTTTCTTATATTTCTTCGGCATCTTTGTTTAATTAATTTAAATCTATGACCTCTTGTTCTTGAAGTTCCAGGTCTCGGGAAATCTTCCCTGTCGATTTTATCAATTCCTGTTACTATTTTGTATGTAGTGATCATATCGCCTCTTTTTTTTCTGTCTTCTAGTTTTGGCATATTTAATGCCTCTATCTTCTCCTCGTAGCTCTTGCCCTTCAGTTCTGGGAGCCACTTAGTAGCATGTCTTTGCACCTTTTCCAGTTTGTTGATGTGCTTCTTAAGATAGGGGCACCACACAACCACTGCATATTCTAGCTTTAGCCTAACAAAAGTCGTGAACAATTTCTTTAGTATTTCACCATCCATGTATTTAAAAGCAATTCTGAAGTTAGAAAGCATGGCATAGGCTCCTCGCACAACACTCTTTATGATTGCACAACGCAATCTTTTAAAAATTATAAAAAAATTTCATCCATGTTAGAAGCGTACCTGTCACTCCTCCAATGTGTTCGTTTCCAGAACAACCTCTTATGTGGGACTCTGTTTTTGCCTTTTTTAGGTCAATGTAAATGCAATCAACCGAACCATCTCTTTCCTATAGAATCTTGGTAACTATCATTAGGGTGGCTATTTCTAAATCTCCAAGAAGGATGACACAGAAAGTACTTGGCAAATTAATTACTGAAGTCTTAGGCCTGAAGATTTACCCTAAATCAAATATGTTGTATGATTTGAAGTACAGTATATAAAAAGCTGTAGAAAATATGCTTAGCAGAATTTATTTGTCAAATATCACTATACAGTAATTTGATGAATGCTATTTTATTATTTTTCTGAAATGAATTTTTAAAACCTACTGTATATATATTACATACATGATTCATTCAGCAAAAATAGAGAATTGGATGAAATGAATACTCAATTTTACTTTTGCGGGAACAGGATATGCTAACCAAATTAACTTTACAAATTAAATGAAGAGCTTACTTAACATGGATGTCTTTATCTTGTACAATATTCCTGTCTTTTACTTGTCATCTCCAAGAGTTTTCTGTTGGCCAGGAATATTGGTACTGTACATGGCTGGACACTTCTGAGAAGTTGTTACAGATTTGGAGCTCTGCTTTGAGCGAGTCCACTTGCAGAAGATTTCTCTCATTGTGGGCATTGCTGCATGGAATACAGAAGATATAAGCACATACCTTCAGATTTGTGAAAGGGACCTAAGATTTACTGAATATCTTAAGATAGTGTTTCTCACTGTGGCCATCTATCATCTCGGGAGAACATGTTGATAAATGGCTGCACAATCATCCCATACTCTTTAAGTAGGAGAGGCAGTAAAAAAAAAAGCTAACCAAACCTTATGAATAATCAAGCGTACTTTTGGCTTTAAGGAAAAGGTGGTTATTCAATTGTATAAATCTCTGCTGTGTCCCCACCTGGATTATTGCATTCCGGCATAGAGACCTCGTCTTCAGAAAAACATTGCTTCATTGGGGAAAGCTCAACACCAGGCAACAAAATAATTCCAGAACTAAGTCAACTTTCATACCAGGAAAGGTTGAGGGCCATATGGCTAACAACACTGCAAACCAGACATGATACCTAGTTGATACATGCTTGATGGGGTTCTGGGAGTTCTTTTACTGCCCAAGCCCAGCCCGAGGCCAGGCTTGACTCGTGAGAGTTTGGTCCACCAGGTTGTTGCTTGGAGCGACCCGCAGGCCCACATATACCTGCTTGATGGGGTTCTGGGAATTTTTCTGCTCCCCAAGCCCGGCCCGAGGCCAGGCTTGACTTGTGAGAGCTTGGTCCATCAGGCTGTTGCTTGGAGCGGCCCGCAGGCCCACATACCCATCACAGCCCGGTAGATCCGGTACTCGATGAAGAAAACAATCTAGTTTTCTCCTGAAGATGTCTACGGTTGTTCCGGCAATATTTCTGATGCTTGCTGGTAGGACTTTGAACAGCCGCGGGCCTCTGATGTTTATACACTGTTCTCTGATTGTGCCTATGGCACCTCTGCTTTTCACTGGTTCTATTCTGCATTTTCTTCTTATCGTTCACTCAAGTATGTTGTTATTTTACTGTGTAGATTTGGTACCTGGCCTTCCAGTATTTTCCTGCTCTGAAGGGGGAAGTGAGTACTGATTAGTACTCTAGACGGGACAACACAAGTGATTTGAGGAGTACAACCATTGTGATGGGATCTCTGGACTTGAAGGTTCTCGTAATCCATCCTATCATTTTTCTGGCTGATGCAATACTTGCTTGGTTATGCTCCCTAAGTGTTAGGTCGTCAGACATCATTATTCCCAAATCCTTGACATGCTGTTTTCCTACTATGGGCAGATACGATTGTGTTTTGTACTCTGTATTATGTTTCAGATCCTAATTTTTGCCGTATCTTAGTACCTGGAATTTATCACCGTTAAACATCATGTTATTTTCTGCTGCCCAATCGAAAACTTTGTTAATGTCTGTTTGTAGTTTTTCAATGTCTTCAGCAGAGGTAATTTTCATGCTGATTTTTGTATCTGCAAAGGATGACACAAAGCTGTGACTTGTATTTTTGTCTATATCAGATATGAGAATAAGGAACAGCTGTGGTGCAAGGACTGTACCTTGAGGTACAGAGCTTTTAACTGCGCTCGGACTCTATTTTATTTGATTGACTGTTACTCTTTTTGTTCTATTCGACAGGAAATTGAGTATCCAGCATCCTACTTTACCAGTTATACCCATTGACCTCATTTTGTGTGCAATCACTCCATGGTCACATTTGTCGAATGCCTTTGCAAAGTCTGTGTATACAACATCTGCTTTCTGTTTTTCTTCTAATACCTCGGTGATTTGTCATAATGTTCAAGTAGCTGTGAGAGGCATGATCTTCCTGCTCTAAATCCATGTTGGCCTGGAATGTGGAGGTCATTGGTTGGTCATTGGATTGTGGAGATTAGGTCATTGATAGGGCTGATGTCATTGAAATGTTCAAAATACTGTTCTGAACAATTTGGAGGATGTTGATACAGACAACTTCTTTAAAAGGTCAGATGTAACACAAACAAGGAACAACAGTTTCAACCTTAAGAAGCCACAATGTTGGACTGAAAACAGGAGATGCTTTTTCACCCAACAGAGTTATAAACCTATGGAACTGCCTACCTGCCAAAGCTGTAAATGCCAAAACTCTGTTGAACTTAAAAATCTAGCAGGAAAAAATCATCAGGACAAATGGTGGAACCTTTAACAAGCCGCCAGCTTCCTGTCCTCATCGAGGCCACTAGAGTGTTAGTGGCCCTTGGATAAATTCAGAAAAATCTAATTAATCTATGTAAATATAGTATCTTGAAGGTTACAGGCATTGACTGCATCAGACTTCTCCAAAAGGTATGGCACTTGTTAGGCTCAGTTTTGATGTACAGTACTTTGTTATGAAAGTTGCTTTTAGAAAAGTCATACAGTGCTACCTCCATTTGTGAATTTAATCCATTCCCAGAGATGGGTCATAATTTGAAAATTTGTAACTCAAAACAAATTTTCCCATAAGAAATGTAAATTTATTTAATCTGTTCCACACTCCTAAAAATATTAACTTAAAAATACATTTCATCTATAATACACACACACACATTTTGTACTATAGTACTGTATGTACAAGTTGTAGCTTACCTTTATTGATGTCTTGTTGGCGTATGAAAGACAGTGAGGAAGGAGGGGGAAGGAGGAAAGGTGTTACTGTTTGGAAGGGAAGTCCCTTCCATTATAACATCAGGTATTGATGACTTCTCTGGGGTACCCTCTCTGTTTTGCCTGCATACCACTAGGACCTGGTTGTGGCTCACTGCTTGTTTTTCTCACTAAAAACCTTTCCATAGAAACTTGTCTTTCCCTATGTTTTAACATTTGTCTGTAGTGAGGCATCACAGTGTCATTGAAAAGGTTAAGGCAACGGCCTACTGCAATTTGGGCGAGTCATTTCAGCAAAAATTTGCATTTCTTCCTATACTGCACACAACTTCTTAATTTATTCTATAGTCATCCTCACATGTGTTTTCTTTGGTTGAACCTTACCACTGACTTTCTCGAGACCAATGACATGTTATATAATAATTACTTTTATGTTCATAAAACAAAAAAGCACAAAAAACAATGAAATTCTTTACAAAGAATTCAAGTGCGGATCGTCACTTAGCAGGCGGTATGGTATATCTTGAGGTTATCTTGAGATTATTTCAGGGCTTAGCATCCCCGCAGCCCGGTCCTCGACCAGGCCTCCATTTTGTTACACACCCCCTAGGAAGCAGCCCATAGCAGCTGTCTAACTTCCAGGTACCTATTTACTGCTAGGTAACAGGGGCATCAGGGTGAAAGAAACATTTTGCCCATTGGTCTCCGCCTCCACCGGGGATCGAACCCGGAACCTCAGGACTACGAATCTGAGCACTGTCCACTCAGCTGTCAGGCGCCCCAATATAGGTTAGCAGTACAGTATAAGTAGCAGCAGTATAACAGTATAGGTAGCAGTAGCACTTAACAGTATAGGTTAAGTGAGAATAAATTTGCATTTATTTCATCTATTGTATTTAGGTTTTCTAATGATTTATGCATGCTAAACTTGTAAGCTTTGAGTTAAATTAAAGTAAAAATGCTTCTATAAGCATATATTTGAGGTCTGGAATGGATTAATTTAGTTTACAGTACATCATTACGGGAAAAATTATTTGGTTCTCGAACAGATCGGCACTCGATCAGTCTTCTGGAATGAATTAAGTTTAGTACTGAGGTGCTTCCCAGGATAAGCCCCACAACAGTTGCCTACCTCCTGGGTACATATTTACTGCTAGGTAAACAGAGGTATAAGGTGAAAGGAGATGTGCCCAACCATTTCTGTCCAGCCCAGGAATTGAACCCAAGATCCCTAATTGTGAGTTGAGAATGAAGCCAACTGTACTATAATAAACTCTTATTATACTGTAAATTATTATACTGTGAGGGGTCGGCATAACTGGCCGACCCCTCACAGTGTTCAAGAGAGAACTGGATAAGCACCTCCAAAGGATACCTGATCAACCAGGCTGTGACTCATACATCAGACTGCGAGCAGCCGTGTCCAACAGCCTGGTTGATCAGTCCAGCAACCAGGAGGCCTGGTCGACGACCGGGTCGCGGGGATGCTAAGCCCCGGAAGCACCTCAAGGTAACCTCAAGGTAAGGTACTATACTAATGTACAAATGGAAGTATACTTTATTAGGTTTTCAACAATAATGTTAGTTATATTGAAATGCATGGATTTCTAAACAAAGCATTTCTGCAAGACTTGAATTCTAAATCAATATAGTAATTTTCTTTGACTCATAGTGCATGGGGGCGAGCCTATTTATTTTTCTAAAGTACAAATTACAGTGGGCACTTTGTTTGAATTACTTATATAATTATGATACAGATTCATGACCAGGAGGCTTTACCACAGCCCTTGCTGCAAGAGCAATGATTACTAAATCCACCTTTGAGAAGACTGCTTAGTAATGCTTAGATGTGACAATATTTAAACAAAAATTTTGGTTTTAATTTTGGTAAGTACTGTATATACAGTATAATTTTTTCATAAATAGGCATTTTACCCGAGTTTCATAATTTTGTTGAATGTTCTGTACAGTAATTTATTTTTGTTGCCAGTTTGTGCCAAACACGAGTTGTGGACCGTGCCTGTACTGCAATAGCATGTCACCAGATGCCCCTGAGGAGCTTCTCCGGTGTGACGTGTGCAGACGGTGTGCGCACATATCGTGTCTCAAGTCAGGCTTGCCAAAGGGAGTTCTCATAGGGGACAACTTCTTCAACTTCACTTGCTGTATGTGTCATCACAGTGGACAAGATACCACCGTTCGAGCCAAATTAAATACGTAGGTTACTTTATAAAATGTCTAGTGCTTCAGAAATTAATAACTATTATATGCCTTGTCCAGTGTAGTTCCACTCCTTCACTTAAAATCTGAAGTGCCATTTATCCACACTGAAACACCATTTGTTATTGAAGTGTCACTTAACCATTAAAGCACCACTTAACCACTGAAGGGCTGCTTAACCACTGAAGCAGTCTTATTGGTTTTCCCTATATACGTGTAAATATTTTGATTAACTTCATTTCTTATTGGGATCTCCCATTATTCTTTGATTGCATGGCGACTCACCCATCTTAAATTGTGTTATCTTGATGAGCACCAATTAAAGCATATGCAATTTTAATTAAGCAAATAAGTTATTGGGATTCATATCTAGAAATGTCCATAATAACACATCTTACATTATTCTTCAGTTTTATCTCGTCTTTGATAGGCCCCATTTATATTATGCAGTTTAATATTGGTCACTGTACTATAGCATGGACATAAGAAAGCCTAGTGTACATTCTTCAGAATGACATGAATGAAAGACTGCAGTATAACAAAGGAAGTACTGTATTAATATATCAACACAAAATATAACACTCTATAATGGATACAAGTTGGATAAGTTTAAATTCAGAAAAGACTTTGGTAAATATCAGTTTAGAGAAAGGGTTGGTAGTTTATGGAGCAGATCACCAGGTCACATAACAGATGTGGGGTTGCTGGATGGTTTTAAGCAGTGGTTAGGTATATATGAGTGAGTTTGGTTGGGGTATAAATAAGAACTGCCTCACATGGACTAATAGTCCTTGAGCAGTTTCCTTTGTTCTTATGTGTACTGATAGGTGTGTGTTCTTCATTGTGTATACTTTGTGTGTGTGTACATTTATCTTGAGCAGTGTTGTGGAGTGAAGTATACTTGAAGGTAGATTTGTGGTAATGATTCTAGCATTTAATGAGCCTTAAATCTTAAAATTCTTGCCTTAAAACTGATAAACCATCATAGATGTACATGTATAATCTATATCTGTAAGTGTGTGTGTGTTTGTCTGTTCAAGGCTGGAGGTCATACTATTGTGGTTAGCCTCGTGCAACTTTCCATGGTGATTGTGTTTGTGTATATATTATATTTATTTATGTTAAATACACATACAGTTCTGTCATGCATGATAATGTGTTTATTGCTTTGATTCATGACTTGATATTAACCAAGCATCCACTTCTCTTATTTTATCATCTAGTTATATAATTCATTTGAATACATTTCACTAAAATTGCTTAACAAAGCATTGGTAGAACAGTTTATTCTAGGTACGCCTTGCATGTTTTTCTTCTTGATAGAAGGTGCAGTTTGCATGAAGGGTTTAATCTCTCGATGACTGCACCAGTACAAGTGTTGGGAGACGCATTTATGTTGAGAATGAAAAGTTTCAAAAGTGTTTGTTGCGTTGTGCTGTAGATTGAGGAGCGGCGACTAAAATGGAAGTTTTTTTCTGTTTGAATGTTGGTGGCACCAGGTATAAATGTGGCGCGGGTCAAATGTGGCCCAATTTGTTGGTCGACTGGAGATATTTAGACAGTGCTTTGACTATTTGATATTTTTCCTGCAACGAAAGGTCACCACCTAATATATGCTCGATGGTAAAGGGTATTTTAGGTGCGATAAATACTTGTTTGAAATTTATTCTGGCAATATGATGTCGGAAACAGTGAAGGAAATAGTGTTCGATTGTTTCAGGCGCCTGACAGTGGATGCAGAGTTCATTAATATCTGTTCTGTACTTAGAGCTGTGTGCTGCCAGTTTGGTGTGTCATAGCCTTAATTTTTTCATCATTACATCAATTTCTCTGCTTTTATATCTGATATGTTTCCAAGTTTCTCATTTATTTATTAATGGACCCATAGTACAAAGATGAGCATGACGTTTTCCATTTCATTACAAAATCTTGGGTGATGGTATCTTTGAAGGCTCCTTTACGTGTGCAACATGAGGAATTGGATGACGGGTAATGTGAGGTGTGTTGTGCATTGCTTTGGGTAGTTGATCTACAAGTTCATTATGGAGTCTACCACAATGCACTGGCACCCAATTCTCCTCACTTTTCAGATGTATTACAGAACAGTATTTGGTAATTTAACCATAAATACTTTACAAATTTATCCTAATTTTATGATGATCTTTCTAGTCATATCCAAATAGTTGTAACAAGGTGCAGTTATTGGGGTATTATTTACAACTTGTTTTCTCATGTGCAGGTCTCAGATTTTGCTGTTGGTGCTGTATAACCTACATATGGTAGAGGCCCACACTACTCGTAATGGCTTCTTTCACTTGAAGATCCACATTTATAAGTTCCTTAACCACCACTGGAAGGAAATATTCGGTCCAGAAAGGTACTGGTATATTGATGGTATTGTATATGGGTACTGGTATATATTTGCTGTGTATGAATAGACACTACTACATGTTGGTACTTAAGCATTATTCAGGTAATTTAGATCCTTCTTTTAATATTTGTTTTAATGGTTACATATCATTTTTGGCTAGGGTTTTGGCCAATAATATACCTTGGCGGGTTTTCTAACCCGTCAAGTGGTGCTCAATATACTTATTTCGTCCATGTCTTCTTGAAGGGCATCGCAATCATCTACATTTCTTATCTTTCCTATTATCTTAGCATCATCAGCAAACATGTTCGTATAATTCTGTATTTCATCTGGTAGATCGTTTATGTAGACAATGAACATTACCGGTGCACGAACTGAATCCTGTGGTACTCCGCTTGTGACATTTCTCTAGTCGGATACATTGGCTCTGATTACGGCCCTCATTTTTCTATCGGTTAGAAAATTTTTCATCCATGTTAGAAGCTTACCTGTCACCCCTCCAATATGTTGCAGTATCCAGAAAAACCTCTTATGTGGAATTGTGTCAAAAGCCTTAGGTCCAGATAGATGCAGTCAACCCAACTATCTCTTTCCTGCAAAATCTCTGTGGCTCGATTATAGACACTTGAGTAAATTCGTTATACAGGATCTTCCAGATCGAAAACCATACTGACTGCCTGATATTACGGTATATAATGTTTTTCTCCAGGTGTTCTACCCAATTAGTTTTAATTATTTTTTCACATATTTTGACTATTACACTTATCAATGATACAGGCCTATAATTTAAGGTGTCTTCTCTGCTGCCACTTTTGTAGATTGGAACTATGTTAGCTTTTTTCCACACATCTGGTATGACTCCTGTACACAGGGATGTCTGAAAAATCAGTTAAAGTGGAATGCTGAGCACAGGTGCACATTCTCTCAGAACAGATGGTGAAACTCCATCTGCACCCACTTCTTTGTTCTTACTAAGCTCCTTGCGCATTTTTTCACTTCATCTTTAGACACCTCTAAATGCTCGAAGTTGTTCTCTAGACTTCTTATTGTGTCTGGTTCTCTGAAGATTTCATTTTGTAGAAACACACTTTGGAATGTTTGTTTAATGTTTCACACATTTCTTTTCATTTTCTGTGAATCGTTTTCCCATTTTCTACCTCTGAATATTTACCTTTACCTGCAATTTGTTTATGAATTTATAGAATAGGCCTGGTTTTGTGACATTTGTCTGCGATCCCTTTTTCAAAATTTCTTTTTGCCTCTCTCCTCACTGCCGTGTAGCTGTTTCTCGCATCTTTGCATCGCTGGTATGTTTGGGGGTTTGGCCTTTTCCTATATTGATTCCATGCTTGTGTCTTTTGGTCTCTGGCCCTCTCATAATTTCTGTTGAACCAATCCTGTTTCCTAGGTCTGCATCTCTGTTTTGATATGAATGTTTGCATGCCTTCATCGTATATTTTGCAAAATTTGGCATACATCTCATTTACTTTCTTGCCTAGCAACAAGTTTGTCTAATTATACTCATTAATCAAATTTCTGAGGTCCCTATAGGTACTATCTCTCTTGAAATCGAGTTTAACAACTATTTCAATGTCCCCATTTTCTTCTAGATTATATCTAAGCATGTAATGTCTAACAGGACATGATCGATCATTCCTAAGGGAGGAAGGTACTGGATGTCAAATATCTCTTCTTCTTTCCTGGTGAATATTAATTCACCAGGAAAGATCCCTGATATGTGAAAGATCCCTTGCAGATCATGATATGTTTACCAGATACTCCTTTTTCTATGCTGTGTATATCTTTGATTAAGAACTGAATGCCACTGCACACCATAGCATGTAATACCTGACCAGATCTCTATACCTTCAGGTATTGGCCGAGGTTACATTGGTGGCCAGGTTACATTGGTTGGATGTAAAGACTATCACAACAGCACCCACTAGACAAATAGAGGAATGGAATTACATTTTACTGGAGATCAGATAAGCCATAATTAAGCAATACACTCTGTTTATATTCTTATTGCAGTCGGAAAAAGAAGAAAAAGGTTATGCAAGCTTCACTGAGTGGGCAGCTGTCTCATTATGGACAGTATTTTGTTAGCGGTTTTGAGACGCTGCGAGATGGAGGGTGGTATAAACTAGCGAGTGTTCTTCCTCCGGCTCAGATCATACAGCGGCAGATGACCAAGAAACAGGGTGGCAAGGATACTTTAAGACATAGAAGTAGAAAAATGGTGAAGGATGAATCGTCTAAGGTGAGGAAAAGTTTTTTTTAAAAGTCACATTTCTGCATGTACTGTAAGTTTCTGTAGGGATCCAGTCTGAATGCTTTAATATAAATATTGATGATTTAGGAGATTTTACTTTTTTTCTGCAATTGTATATCTTAAGTTCTATTGATCATATGAATAAAAGGCTCTTTAACTCTTTTAATAGGAGTAATCATGTGAGGATTTTTGTGTTCTTTGTCATGAACTGTCAGAATAGTTTGTATTTTTCCGGTGTCAATTTACATTGGAATCACTTCATTTGATAATAAGAACTTATCAATTAAACTATCAAAGGAGTAGCAATAGCTAGTTGCTACCCCTTTTTTTCAGTAGAAAATGCTTCAACTCCTCAGACCCAAGAGGTTCCCATATTAGTGAATATATGCAGGAATACCAAAGATTGTGAACAACTGCACCAGGCATTGAATTACTGTACCAGTAGTTATTTCTGAGCAAGGGAATGCAAAAGAGAATCTAGAAAATTCATCTGACAGTAAGTATATATATTTATTCCTCGATTGTGATGAAAGTGGTCCTTTGAAATTTGTCGAGTCATTCAAATGGCTGAGTAGCTTTAATCAAATGTCCAGACTCAAACTTGAAATACTGAAGTGTAAGTTCAGAGCATGTAGAGCAAGAAGTAGTCATCTTCTTCACTTCCTCAACAGAATAAGGCAGATTTTGACATCGGACAAAATGACCCATAAGAGACACTGCAGGGTGACAGATTTTCATGCAATTCCTTAAGTTCATCCACTCTGGTGGCACCACATATGCATGAGAATGCATCTGTGGGAATGTTGTTTTACCTGGGCAATATGTAATGTCATAGTGGTAATGGGAGTTTGACTCCCCATCTAACTATTTTATCATTTTTAATCTTACCATCTGATTTAGAGTTGAACATGAAAGCAACATATGCTGATCAGTCAGAAGCTGAAAATGGCATCCAATGAAGTAGTGTAGCTACATCCTTAGAGCTTCAACAGTGACATAGGCTTCCTTCTCCACTGATGAGTGCCTCTGTTCACTATTTAATTAAAAGCGTTCAGAAGAAAGCTACTGGTTGTTCATTCTGGGTTAGATTAGCAGCAATGGTATGATCTGAAGCATCAGTTTCCACAGCGAAAGGAGCTATTGGGTTGATTGCTTGAACCACTGAGTCGGCAATGTTTTATTTCAATCCTTAATCCTGCAATAATACCAAGCCATATAATATACAATGCATATACAGTGGGGCCTCGACTTATGAATTTAATCTGTTCCCAGAGCTGGGCTGCAAGTTGAAAATTCGTAAGTCGAAATGACTTTTCCCATAAGAAATACTGTAATGTAAATTGAATTAATCTATTCCACACTCGAAAAATATTAACTTAAAAATACATTTTATGCTGAATACAAATTATTTTTCTAACTACAATACAGTACATATGTTTATCTTACCTTTATGGACTGGTCAAGGTGAGGTTACCTGTACCTCTTTCCCCCAGTTCTGCTGTTGCTCCAAGTCCTAGTTCGCTTGGAGACTTACCAAGGAAGAGTAGTCTTGTTAGGCCCCTTGGTGGCCGGCTCAGCCTTGGTTTCAGGCGCTGTTTGCTCGATGTCCAAACCCGGGGTTCTCGCAGCTCTGACTCTTTTTAAACAGATCGGGCCAGTCCGTTACATAGCTGATTCAATCTTCTTAAGTCTTCAAGTCAGGTCTTTCTGATGTGGATCTATTAACATTTGTTTGGTTAGCAGGTGGCTTAGTTGATGGTGTCCCACCTGCATGCTTCATCTTGGTGGCATTATGAAGTTTCCTGGCAGTTCTTTCGTTATTTCTTGTCCCTCCGTAAGTTCTCTTCTGTTTTGAATCGGGTTGTCTTGTCCTTCCTTTCTTGGTTGTTTCAGGACCTTCATCTTAAGTCGAATACTGTCACTTCGCACAGTACAGTCGCTTCGTATTGTGCAGCGCTGGTGGAGCTGCTTCAGCTTGTGTTCGGGGTGGATGTTACTTCTGCTCCGGTCCGCAAGCTGTCTTGTTTCGGTTTTGTTGTGGCCCCTTCAGTTCAAGATTGTTTTTCGAAGGCTCTTTTTCCTGTTGACATTGGCCTCTGGGGGTCAGGTTGGGGAGCTTCATGCTCTCCTTCGGCGCAGAGCTTTCTACTCTGGGTCCTGGTGGTAGGTTTGTTCGTTTGCAGCTGTCTCCTTCTTTTCTGGTAAAAAATGAGATTGCTGCTTTCCAGAGGGGGTGTTGGATTGTTGATGCTTGGTTGGTTTGGCCGGGGGTGCATAACATGTTATGTCTGGTTGCAGCTCTTTGCTATTGCCTGCGTGCCAGGGCCTCAGTGGCCGGGGACGTGCTTTAGGTTGACCTGGTTTCCCTTCTTCAATGTTCCAGGTCGTCCGTAGGGTTATTTGGTCCATCCAGCCTGCTGTCTATCCTCGTGCCCATGATGTTCGTAAGTTTGATGCGTTGGCTGCCACCTTCGGTAATACAGAGGAACCTCGTGTGACGAGCAGCCCCATCTACAAGCATTTCAGGGAACGAGCGAGCCACTCACAGAAGATTTATCTTGATTGACAAGCTTCTGCTCGATTAACCACTGGGCTGCGCCAACCGAGAAAACACTTTTTTTTATTTTTTTGTGCCCATTCAAAATGTGTGCGTGGTTGGGTGTGTACGAAATGGACTCTTAGGACCTCCAGTGAGAGGCCGCCATTTTGGAAAAAAATTCCAGAATCCCCTAGGGCTGCTGGCATTGCTAGTACTGAGTGAGAAACCATGAGTGGTGCATGCACCTATGGCTCCCAAACACCTGTCCGACTCGGTGTTGAAAGATCATGCGCTGTCGGTGAAATTCAAATCTTATTGGTTGAAGAACATAAGGGTCATAATATTGGTGAAGCTAGGCATAATAAGGACCTAACACAAAGGTCGGATGCAAGTGATGCAGCACCTATGAGGACGATACAGCGAGCATATCCAGTTGTAGCTCTGAGCGCCACCCTTGCCCACCTATGCCATCTCCAATTTATATAGATGATACATAGATGAATCGTTTTCTGCATTCAGTCATGATGCATCTGATAAAAGTAGCATAGATGAACAGTGTTAGTGGCTTCCATGGTGGTAATTTCCATAGATATTTTCAAGAATAGCTGAATCTCTTTCAGAATCACTGAATTTCTTTTAGATTGACGGACACTCTTTGAGGGTGGCTGAATCTCTTCCTGTGTGGGACCTTATAAAGCGATCTTTTCAAGATTACCTTACAAATTGATCTTTTCCTATAATCTTTTCATTACTATCTTATGCTTTACAAACTTGGCTACATACCACCTACAAGTACTAAAGCCAAGGGTGTACGTGAGTGCGTTATTTGCAAGCACACAGAATGAAGAAACTGTAAACGAAAATCTATCTGTACCTGGTGCAATGAGAGCGAAGTCGCGCTGTGTACCTTGGACTACTTCGTTGATTATTACTCACTTCCAAAGTACTGAGTGCGTAGTACAGTGTGTTACTGTGTAAATAGTGTGAGAAACTGTACATATTGTAATTTTAGTGAATTTTTAACAAGTAATATTGCGATAAACATTTATTGTGGACACATTGCTGACACACACATCACAGTGCCATGGAAAATTATGAACTTCCTACTGTATACATATTGTGAAGGACACAAATATGCATCATATATGATAAAAAAACGACAAATAAAACTGCATTGGAAATACACAGAACAAATCATTGAAAATATATTTGTGGCAACACGCGTTGCTTGAATGGCCCGTGCGACCGTGTCTGGGAGCTTCACGCACGAGCAACCAGCCCCTGATGACGTCACAGTGCACCTTGTCCACGTCCTCACGGCCAAAGTAAGTGGAATTTGACATTTATTTTTACATAGACATGTTCAGGGAAGGGAATTCGTCATTTTAATAAGAAAAAATAATTTTTTGGGAACGCTTAATTAATTTCATGCGCATGGGGAATTTCACAATAAACTCGGCGCATCACAGTGGTTAATAAGAAAACCATGTGGTGCTTCCTAGCGTTCCCACTGGTTCTCGCAAATTCTCCGACAACAGTGTTGTTGTTTTATTGTGCAGGACAAGCATCCCTCTGCATTTATTTGAGCTTTCTTTGTTTTTTTGTGGTTTTGTGACTGCAATTTGTAACCCGTAATGTCGCCAAAGCAGCAGCTTGCTAAAGATTGTGTTGTCAAGAGGAAGGAGGACACAATTATTGTAGATTTGAAGAAAGAAATCGCCCGACTCAAGGGTGGATTCTTCTTCCACACCATAACTCCTCTCCTCCTCCCCATCGTCTCCCGCAATCCAGCAACGACTCTTAATAGGTAAAGTACTGTACAATTGAAAACGGTAAAACAAAACATTTATAATAATTACATGTATTATAATTACATTATAGAATTTCATATTGATGTTTTTCGGGGAGGGGGGGGGGGTGGAGGAACGGATTAATTTTATTTCCAATATTTTCAGTGGGGAAATTAGTTTCTCAAGACGAGCATTTCACATGATGATCTCAGTGCTGGAACGGATTAAATTTGTTAATTGAGGCTCCTCTGTATGTCTTGGGATGACATTCGGGCACAGGGTTTTTGGAGGTCGAACAGGATCTTGGCCGCTCACTACCTAGTCAATGTTCCTGGCCTTAGTCAGGCATGTGTTGCATTGGGTCAGCGGTTGCAGCCAGTTGTCTCGACTTCAAGTTGAGGAGCGAGTGGCGATCGCCTCCTATGTAAGTCCCTCTTGCTTTATCTTTGGCGAAGTAGCTCCGGGGAGCCGAAGGGGCTCCCTTTCCCCCTCCCCAGAAAACCAGTGTTGAATGTAATGAAACACCATTTTCTGGGTGAGACCTGGAGGCTCCCTGGTAACTCTTCCTCCAGTTGGCGGTTTTTGCGTGTTTTGACATGCAGCCTCAGAACTGGGGGTGTGGATAGCTCGTTTTCATATGGCAAACATAGAATGCTTTCCATACGGGAGTTTCTATAGGCCATTGCTCCTCGTGCCTCTTTGAGGAGGCCAGGTTCTGGCTCGTGGTCCCTGGTAGGCCTAGAACTGCATTTGTTTTGAACGATGCCGGGGTCTAATACATTCATATCACCCCGAAGACTCTGGGTCTCGCCCAGAAAAATGATGTTTCATTACATTCAACTCTGGTTTTTCTAATAATTTGTGTAAATTGTTGTGCATTTCATAAGTTACAGAAGTCAGTATATTTTTATCTGAAAGAATCTGAATCTTTATGTGGGTAATTTATTTTATGCTTGGCCTTGCAGGAGATAGCACACATTAAGGAGGAAGTAGTGGATGAATCTGTAAGTTCTGGCGATGTTTCGTTTGACAGCCACGATGATTCGTCTCGAGGGTCGTGGTTCACGGAGAGAGAGCTCCTGAAGCCCCACACTTGTCCACCCCAGGCGCTCTTTGATAGTGAGGAAGATGAAGATGAACAAGAAACAAAGCCATGTTTTCTGCAAGTGAAGGTAGGACCATTAAAGAGGGTTGTGAATGTAGTGTGTGATAGGAGTTAGTCGAGTACTGTATAATACAGTTGGCCTTCACTCCTGGAAAAATTGTATTTCCTAAATAAATAAAGCAAACATCAACATTAAATGTAAATTAAATAGGAAACATATTTAAGTTTCGGAAACCAAAATAGTTCTGCTTTTTCCACTACCAAATAAAACATCTACTTGTATTTAATACTGAATTTAATGTTTCTTCCACAAATAGAGCATTTGTCCAGCTACAAATACAGGACATAATAAAGTCAGAATGCTTGAAATGGTCAATGATGCAAGAATATAATCCAAATAGATGTAATGTCTGAAATAAAGTGATTGTGGAAGCCAGATACACTTCTGAGAATAGGGTAAACCCCATGAATTAGTGTAGATCATTCACAGTAACCCATATTACAGCTGTAATGTGTTCAACCAATATAATATAAATATGCACCCATGCACTTGGAAATTTGGTATAGAAGTGTTCAACCATGTAACATACCATTAAATGCACATTCTACAAAACTGTGTAGAGTGCAGGCCACCTTTAGTGAAAAAAAAAATAGGTGATGTTCTCATTCTCTCTTCTAATCATAGTAAAACATTATTTTCCAGCCACAAATCTATAAAATAGATGTCTGTCTGCCCCTCTGAGGTTGGAGGCTAGCCTCGTTAAAAATTTGCAGGGTGACTGTGCTTTGTTCAGGGATGCTGTTAAGCAGGTTAGGGGTAATGGAGAGGGAAGGGTGGTGGGGGCTAGGGAGGGTGGTGGGGGAGCTAGGGAGGGTGGTGGGGGAGCTAGGGAGGGTGGTGGGGGACTATGGAAGGTGGTGTGTGATTGGTGCTTACCTATCAGTTACTTTGGGGAGTGAGATCTAGCTCTTTATGCCCCACTTTTGATGATAAAAATAGTCATAACAAACACTCAGTTTGGGATGAAAACCTAGGATTACTCAGAATACCTTAACACTGACACCATCTCTGCTAATCATGGGGGGTAATTAGGCTAAATGACTCGGGGAAAAGATCAGTCAATTAGTATCGGATTAGCTGGAATTTTATCATTAATAATTTGGAAGGAGGGATGGAATTACTTCAAAACTGCTTACTCGAGACAAGGGGAATATTTAATCTAATAGGATATTCAGAGGATCACAGGAATTTCCTGTGAAAGATCACACAGAATGCTTGGGATGTGCAAGTGTGCTTAAATCTAACCTAAAATGTTGGTAAAACTCAAGAATGCGAGTCAGGAAGCTTGACTTGCTGCTGAGAAAGTGGTAAATCTAAGGATCAGTGTGGCTTATCCACACTGATCCATTCACAAACCACATAACTCTGACATTTCCCACCTCAAAACTTGATATAAAAGTACTTTCCTATGTAACACAAAATGTGTCTCCGATATTTAACCTAGTGAGCGTGCAGAGATCCTTTACTGCTAGAATCCACTCAGTAAAACGTCTAAATTACTGGGACCGACTAAAGAGCCTAAATCTGTACTCCCTTGAGCGCAGGCGGGAGAGATACATAATAATTTACACGTGGAAAATAATTGAAGGGCTGGTCCCAAACCTGCACACAGAAATAACACCACATGAGACCAGAAGACATGGCAGGATGTGCAGAATACCCCCGTTGAAAAGTAGAGGTGCAACAGGTTCTCTGAGAGAGAGAACTATCAACATCAGAGGCCCGAGACTGTTCAACACGCTTCCACTACACATAAGGGGCATAACTGGCAAACCCCTCACAGTGTTCAAGAGAGAACTGGATAAGCACCTCCAAAGGATACCTGATCAACCAGGCTGTGACTCATACGTCAGGCTGCGAGCAGCCGCGTCTAACAGCCTGGTTGATCAGTCCAGCAACCAGGAGGCCTGGTCGATGACCGGGCCGCGGGGACACTAAGCCCCGGAAGCACCTCAAGGTAGCCTCAAGGTAGGTAGGTAGATACTACACAAATGAAGGACTGCCTGCATAATGCATTAAAAGATCTGTGCTGTATTAGAAAGTCATGCATGTTCAGACATATTTTCCTTTTAATATTAATAAAATACAAGCCTGCAGAACTTGAAGGCTTTGCTATTAAAATGTATATATACAGTACTGTATATTTTGCGAGTGTCTTCTAATACAGCTCCATTGTGGAAGGTTTTCAATGTAATTTAACAAGGATTCTATTACTTCAGAGCAGCATCTATGTTTATTTAAGTCATTACATATTTATGTTCTTCAGTATATTTTCAAGAAATATATTTTTTCCAAACAAAATTTAGATGGATTTGAAGAAAGAAGTAACACTGGAAGAAGTTAATCCAGATTGTGAAATGAAAGAGAGGCCAAACATTAAGGTAAAAGAGGAAGATTGTGATGCAGAGTTCATTGATGTAGATGGAAATGAAAGTGAAGTGCCACCAGACGACAAGAGAGAGAGAGAGCCACTAGAGGACCCTCTGTGGATTAAAGCATCACTCTTCACCAAGACCACCACCTCTGACACCATGCTCAAGGCTCATCCACCTACATCAAAACAGGAAACAAAAGAAAGGTAAGAAGCTTTAAAAATAATTCCAATTGTCAGGGACAAGTGGCCTATATTAAGACTTATTGAGGCCCCGTAGCTTGAACTAGTTAATAAAGTGAAGCTGTGTGTATAGTGCATGTAAGCAACATTGGTACCTTCCCATAGTCATTGTCTGCAACAGAAAGCTTGCAATTTTTCAGGTTAACATTAACTATTCAGCATGATAGATATTATTGTATAGAGCATCTCTACACACCATTTCATTTCAGAAAAAATGTCAAATTTTCAAGAGAAAAATTGTCCCCGCTCTCAAGCGACATCGGTCTGCGAAAGTGTTAAAATTCTTTAGGCCCGTGGAAACCCCTTGAAGGTCTGTGCCTCCTCTTCCTCCCCAATCTGGGTGTGGTTCACCCTGCTTCTGGTCTTTTCCCACTGGTTCTAGCTCTGAAGCATCTGAGGGTTTCAGAGTCTGGTCAGGGCTTAGCTTGGGGGTGTAGCTCAATCTTTTCTGGAGGTGGTCCCATCTGCATTGACAGAGAGGCAGTTGAGCTTTCTGGTTGTGTTGAGGTTTTGGGGCGCTCGTCTTCACAGTCGCCCATTTGCCCCGAGCCTTCTCCTTGGGAGGACACGTTCCTGTCTTGGGTGTTAGACGAGGACTTTAGTTTCACTATGAAGCCTTCAGGAATTGAAGGAGAGCTCGATGAGTGCCCTTGCGTGCCTTTCAATCCATTGTGCATTTTGGTTGTTTTCTCTGTGGCGGGTCTTTTGTTGCAGGGGGGAGGGGATAATTTTTTTGTATCTTCCCACTATGTATAAGTTGGATTGCTCAGCTCCTCCCCTTTGGGTTTGGTTGAAAGTTGCATTTGTGTTCCTCAGATTCTTTGTTTATCCAGAGGTTTCCGTCCTCCTGTGCTGTACCTTCTGTGGCCCACATGGATTTGCTTTAGGAATGCATACTTCTTTTCCATGATGGACCTGGCCTCTTTCAAATACAGATCTGCCTCCTCTTATTGGTTGCAATAAGAGGTTTCTGGTTTATCCTGGCTGACTGACAACTCTCTCTTATCCTTGGGGGCTTGGCAGGGGTTCTGTCAGACCTACATGCTTGATTGATGGGAGATGAGCTCCGCTTTTCAGGTGTTTCTGAGTAGAGCTTCCTCTGCTTTGTTCCTATCTGATTGCTCCAGCAGTTACCAAGGTTGTGGGCAAGTGGCAGCTCCATGTGCAGCTGCCTGTGCTGTCCAGAGCCCTTATTGTGGAAGACCTCAGGGTGTGTTTGCATCTGGTGGCAGTCCTCTGTGTCTGGGTTCTTGTGGAGAGGCTCTGAGCGTCTTCATGAAGACGTGTTGTTGGGGTCCGCTCTGAGGGTGAAGGTCGTGTAGCCGGTTTCGGCCTTGGCAGCCTTGCCCAAGATGCTCACCCATTTCTTTTGGGAGGTGTTGATGGCATTTTATTTGGCACACCTAAAGTGAGTGGCTCGTCTGCTGGCTTATCGGGGTTTGGCTCTCCTTGCGGTTCATATCTGGGGAGTGTTCAATGTCCTGGCAAACTGCCTGTCTTGGTTCATTCCCCTGTCCATGGAATAGACAGTTGATGCCAACACCTTCCGTTGGCTGTGCCGGATGTACAGACTACTGGACTTTGACCTCTTCGTGTCGGCGTAGTCTCGGCGTCTCCCGATCTGTGGCGCCCTTCCCCGACTGCGAGGCTATCATGGTGGATGCATTTCGGCAGGACTGGTTGAGGTGAGGTTAACTGTACCTCTTTCCCCTGGTCCAGCTATTGCTTTGGGTTCTGGTTTGGTTGGAATCCTACCAAGGGAGAGTAGTCCTCATAGCCACATGGTGGCCAGCCGGCCCAGCCTTTGTTCCAGGCTCCGTTTGCTCCGTGAGTGAACCCGGGATTTTTTCCGCGGCTCCTGTCTCTTCCAACAGGTCGGACTAGTCCGGTACATGACTGGTTCGATCTTCTACTCCACTCTTTGCGTCTGATCTTTTTTATGTGGGTTTATCACAATTTGTATGGTGATCAGGTGGCTTTGTTGATGGTGTGCCACCTGAGAGCTTTATCTCGGCGACAGTATGACATTTCCTGGCATTTTTTCCGCCATCATCTCTCTTTTTGTAGGTTGTCTTCTCTTTCTGATTGGGTTGTCCTGTTCTTTCTGTCTTGGCTTTTTCAGGACCGTCATTTGATTGTCTAATACTGTCATCTCGTATCATGTGGAGCTGGCAGAGCTGCTTCTGCTTGCGTTCAGGGTGGATGCCCCGTTCCATAAGATGCGCCACCTGAGCCATCCTGGTCCGTCTTGGTCCATGGACAGGGTGTTCTCCTATCTTTCCTCTCCTGTTTTTTTTTCTTTTTGTTTTGGAGGTCGAACAGGGTCCTGGTCGCCCTTTATTTGGTTAATGTTCTTGCTCCTGGGCATTCTGTGTTGCTTTGGGTCGCAGGTTGCAGCCAGTTGTTTCAACTTCGCATTGAGGAATATGTGGCGGCCACCTCCTGGTTAAGTCCCTCTTTTCCTTTATATTTGGGTATGTAGTTTTCTGTGGAGAGCCGTAGGGGCTCTCCACAGAAAACTAGCGTTGAATGTAATGAAACGCCATTTTCTGGGTGAGCCCCCGTAGGCTCCCTGGCAACCCTCCCTCCCTCCGGTCGACAGTTTTTCGCGTTGTTCAATGCTTAGCTTCCGAACTGGAGTGCTGGGTAGCCTGGCCCGGGAATGTTCGGGGCTTCCCCCTTCCCCTCTCGGGAAGGGGAAAGCTGAGTGGACGAACAGTGCGACAGTGGAGTGTGACGTTTGCTTGTTTCCTTGGGAATGGAGGAAGTTCTGCCTCTTTTCGTTTCTTTGTTGTACTTTTCTTACCATGTGGAGTTTGTTTTATTATGCCTACCTTTCTGGGTGCTTAACCCCAGTCGTTGGCAGATAAGGAAAACCCCCCAATTCAAGGAAGAGGGGGGGTGGGGTTGTTTCCAGGGCCATTGCTCCCTGAAACCTCTCTGAGTGGGCCAAGTTTTGGCTCGGGGTCCCCAGTAGGCTGAACTCTATAAACTAATGCCCCGGCCTAATATATCACACATTAGCCCGATAGCTCCAGGGAGCCTCTAGGGCTCACCTAGAAAATGGCATTTCATTACATTCAACGCTGGTTTTTTGGGTTCAATTCAGTGTTATCCTCTTCCTTCCCTTGTGGGATTGGTTATCCCTTATTTCTTCCCTCTCCCCCCATCCCCCGTTTCCAGTTCTGACACGTCTGAAGGTTTCTGAGTCGGGGCAGGATTTAGCTTAGGTTGTGGCTTGGGCCATTCCAGGGTGTTTCGCATTCCGACTTGTGCACGGAGGAAGTTCAGCCTCACGCTCATGCCATGGCTTCTGGGTCTTTCCAGCGGGCCCTTTCTTTTGATGCCTCTCCCCTGGACTCTACTTTTTTATCACAGGCAGTAGGTGTGGATGTTGGTTCTGCCCTGCAGCTCTAATTTGTGGTTTGCAGGATTTGGGGGAAGTTGGAGTAGGGCCCTTGGGTCTATTTGATCCTTTGTGGGCCTTTGTGCCTTCTGCAGAAGGTCTGGTGTTGGGGGGTGGGGGTTCTTTTCCCACTCCTTGTATGAGTTCAGTTGGATATGGCTTACCCCCCTGGGTTCATTTCCAGGTGCCTTTGGGCCCTTCAGTTTCATTCTTCTGGAGGTTTCCTTCCTTCCAAATTCCCTGGTAGTGACTTGAGAGGTCATGTGTTCATACTTCTCCGGTTCTGCTTTGCTTATGAATCCAGCTTCTTTTGAGTCCAGTTCTTCCTCCCCTTTGGGTGCATTCTGAAGTTCCGGTGTCGTCCTGGCTAGCAGACTGTCCTTGGAGCTTGGTGCGGTTCCATTCTACCTGCATGCTTTTGAGTGGTAAGAGGTATTTCCTATGTTAGCAAACCGTGCTTGCCCTGTCTTAGACTTGGTGTGGACCCTGGCTCTTGCTTTTGCATCTCCCTTTATTTCACTTAGTGGTGTCTCAGTTTTTGTCGGCTGCGGCCACTGCTTGTTGGCCTATGGCTGTCTTGTATTTCGCAGGGGTTCGGTCTCATAGTCGAGCCAGGGTCTGCTGTAGCAGGGTTTTTGGGTCATTCCTTGTGGCCTGCAGTGGGGTTGGTTGGTCCCACCTCCTTTGTCGGGTTTGTTGCTTCTGGGGCAGGCCTCCTCTCCTTGCTTTCGTTGTCATCTCTGAATATTGTAGGTAGCTTCAGGCTTGGTCAAAATGACTTAGTCTCTTGAGCGGGTTTCTGCCTGTTTCCACAATAGGACTCTTTGGAACCGGTTCATTCTAGTCCTGTCTCAAGGTTGTACAAGTTCATCCCATGCCTCTCTCTTCCAATGACTGCATTGTCCGGGTCCATCTCGTTCTCGAGCCAGGCACTTGGGTAATGTGTCTGGACCCCCTGGACACATCTTGGTGCATCCCTCTCCATTCTGGTTTCTGGAATTGGTTAGGTTTTGTAGTGAGGCAGCAGGTCTTTTGTTTTTGGGTTTCCCATTTAATCTGCATCTTGGGTTTGTATGAGTTTCACTTGGGTCGTGGTGGCCCATCTTCTGTTGTTAGGTGATAGTGTTGGCCTACCTTGACACTATCACCTAACAGTGGGTTAGGTGATAGTGTCGCTCTGGCCAGTGGGCTCCACCTCAACCAGCTGGACTGGTTGAGGTGGGGGGTGTACTGCCTCATTCCCTAAGTTTGGCTGTTGCTTTAAGTCCTGGCACTCTTGAAGTCATTCATGGAATGATGATTCTTCTGGCTTCTTGGTGGCCATCCCGACCTTGGTTCTGGGGCTGTTTGCTTGGTGTCCATCTCAGGCATTTAAAGTGGCTACTCTTTCAGTGGGTTGGACTGGTGTTGTCCTTTACCTGTTTGACCTTCTCCTCTGTTCTTCTTGTCTAGTGTTTTGATGCATGTGGATCACCCTCTCTATGGTAATAAAGTAATTTTTTCAAGGTGTCCGATCTGTGGTCCTCTCAACAGTAGTTTATCATGTCTTGGCGTGTCTTCTTCCATTTTGTCCCTTCACTGTTGCTTCTCGGTTTCTGATTGGTTGTTCTGCCCTTTCTTGGCTTTTCCTTGCTCAGCATTTTCTGCCATGTGCTGTCCCCTCTGGGTTCTGCCATGTGCCTGGTCCCTTGACCGGGTTCTTTCTTTTCTTCAGTTTCCTCCATTCCGGTGGCCCCTTTGGTCCTGGCTTGTTTTAGCAAACGTTTTTATGCTTGCACTGGGCTCTGGTTGCCTGGTGTGGATGCTTCTTGGGCACTGGGGCTTTGTTCTTTAGGCCTTTGTGGGTAATTTGTTGGGATGCTGGCAGCAGAACCAGATTAGGATCCAGCATATTATCAAGATCATATTCTGGCCAGAATATGATCTGGCATAATCATATTCTGGCTCTGGTCCTTAGTAGGTCAAACAACTTTCATGACTGATGTGATTTATTAATATGGAGTAATCTCGGCAAGATAGGTTCAGGGAGCCACTGGGGCACCTACAAAATGAGGCATTTCGTTACACTCAATGCTAAGTTTTCTGTCTTCAAATCTTCCATTTGTATATTATCTTGGTGGCATGTTTGGTTTGAAACCTAGACAAGAGCCTGTAAAGTACATGATTATGTGTATTGTTTCCATACCTATATCATCAAACCATGGCTTTCTAATTAAGACAAATATATATGTTGTGCAGTGTACGTGCATTGAGTGGATATGAGGAGCGACAGTTGCTGCGGCACTTAGAGCATCTTCAGGAATCTGGTCCTTTACCCCCACATCTGCATCGTTTTCGTCGAAAATTGGCTGTCAGGTAAGTTGTGAATTTTGTTACAGGGATAATGCATTTTTTTGTGGGGGGTGCCCCGTCGGCTCCCTGGAGCTATCCAGGCTGAATGGATATATATAATTTTCTGGCATCAGTTAATGTGCATGGAGTTCTTGCCTATCGGGGACCATGAACCTGGCCCCCTCAAGAGAGGTGCGAGGAGCAATGCCAATAGAAACCCCCATGTGGTTGGGAGCATTCTATGTCTGCCATCGACTGGGTCTGGCACCCAGAAAAGTAGGCACCCAAAAACAAACCCCCCTATTCTGGTGAAACTATTGCTACCGAAAGCCAAATGAGTGGACAGAACTCCCCAAACGGAAATTAGCAAACGAGCAAGACATCGTCACATTCATATGCCGCTGTCTGCGCAAAATCCCCCCCCCCTCCCTGGGAGGGGGAAAGGGGAGCCCCAGACCTTCGTGCCGGCGATCCAACCACCAGTTCTTGGTCGATAGGATTTTAGAATAGTCTAGTGCCTCTGGCTCCTGCTTTTTGTCTCGATTCTGTGCCTTGTGGCATGGTCTGTCTCTACAGGTGGTGTGAGAGCCAGGAGTAATATTCCATGGTACTCAGGCTGCACACGCCTAGGGTTCTCTTCCCTAGGCACCTAGTAAGTACTGTTCTTGGGGCTTGGGGCCTCCTTCCCAAAGTCCCCTTGGGTTTTACCTCTGCTGTGTCTTACTGCTCGGTACTTGGCCGCCTTGGGGTCAGCTGGGGTGTTGTTACCCTTGTTTGTCTCCGGGTAGGAGGTAGTTTTCAGACCTGATAGGGGCGCGTGGTACTGCAAAGCTAGTTAACACCTCTCATAGCGGCCGGATCTGTTCCACCTGGGTACGTTGTCTTCTTGTGGGGTTTTTCTTTTGTTTTTTGTTCCTGCCAGGTGGGGGGGTCTGCCTTCGTTAGTCCCCTTAGCTGTTGCTGGGGTATATACAGTATGTACTCAACTAGTTGTGGTTGCGGGGGTTGAGGTTTGGCTCTTTGGTCCTGCCTCTCAACCGTCAATCAACTGATGTACAGATTCCTGACCCTACTGGGCTCTATCATATCTACATTTGAAACTGTGTATGGAGTCAGCCTCCACCACATCACTTTCTAGTCCATTCCATTTATTAACTACTCTGACATTGAAAAAGTTCTTTCTAATGTCTCTGTGGCTCCTTTGGGTACTCGGCTTTCACCTGTGTCCCCTTGTGCGTGTACCACCCGTGTTAAATAATCCATCCTTGTCTACCCTGTCAATTCCCCTGAGAATTTTGTATGTGGTGATCATGTCTTCCCTAGCTCTTCTGCCTTCCAGCGATGTGAGGTGCAGTTCACGTAGTCTGTCCTCATAGCTCATGCCTCTTAGTTCTGGGACTAGCCTAGTGGCATACTTCTGAATTTTTTCCAGCTTCATGGAAAAGCTTCTTCCTTCCTTCCGTGTGTACTCACCTAATTGTGCTTGTGGGGGTTGAGCTTTGGCTCTTTGGTCCTGCCTCTCAACTGCCAATCAACTGGTGTACAGATTCCTGAGCCTACTGGGCTCTATTATATCTACATTTGAAACTGTGTATGGAGTCAGCCTCCACCACATCACTTCCTAGTGCATTCCATTTATTAACTACTGACACTGAAAAAATTCTTTCTAACATCTCTGTGGCTCATCTGGGGTACTAAGTTTCCACCTGTGTCCCCTTGTTCATGTCCCACCCATGCTGAAGAGTTTGTCTTTGTTCACCCTGTCAATTTCCCTGAGAATTTTGTAGGTGGTTATCATGTCTCCCCTTACTCTTTTCCAGGGATGTGAGGTTCAGCTCCTTTAGCCTTTCCTCGTAGCTCATTCCTCTCAGTTCCGGGACGAGCCTGGTGGCATACCAGGCCGGTATGGCCGGTAATGGGAGCCGGTCGGCCGAGCGGACAGCACGCTGGACTTGTGATCCTGGGTTCGATCCTGGGCGCCGGCGAGAAACAATGGGCAGAGTTTCTTTCACCCTATGCCCCTGTTACCTAGCAGTAAAATAGGTACCTGGGTGTTAGTCAGCTGTCACGGGCTGCTTCCTGGGGGTGGAGGTCTGGTCGAGGACTGGTCCGCGGGGACAATAAAGCCCTGAAATCATCTCGAGATAACCTCTCGAGATATACCGCTGAATCTTCTCTAACTTTGTCTTGTGTTTAACTAGGTATGGCTCCAGGCTGGAGCTGCATACTCCACTAGAACTTGTCCCCAGAGGCCCACATCAAAAGAATATCATCAGCGGCATATGCTAGACTGGCCAACGTAAGAACTGCTTTTAGAATCTTGTGTAAGGAATCGTTCAGGACCCTGTATACCACTTATGTCAGACCAATCCTGGAGTATGCAGCTCCAGCCTGGAGTATGCAGCACACACACACACACACACAGGGTGGTTTCCATCCTATTTGCCTAACAAGCCAAGTTTTCATGAATTTATATATTTTTCTATTTTTTTTCTTATGAAATTAAAATGCTTCCATTTAATTATGTAGGACCTATTTTTTTTTAATTTGAGTTAAAACTAAGGAAAATATACGACCGTATATGTGCTATATTAGGCCTCAGATCTTGTGTATTAGGCCTAGGAATGTTAGGTTAGTTTAGTTTGGCTTTGCAACATAAGTAGAAAATAGTTTTTTGGATTGTCCAACTCAATAGTTAAGATTTCTACTTTCTAATTTCGTCGTAGGCCAGTATATATACTGTGGTCCTCATCGTTACCATAAGTACTACCAAAACCGGAGGATGGGCTGCAGATTGTCACCTCCGGTGAGGTGATGGATTGTCACCTCCGGTGAGGTGATGGATTGTCACCTCCGGTGAGGTGATGGATTGTCACCTCCGGTGAGGTGATGGATTGTCACCTCCGGTGAGGTGATGGATCGTCACCTCCGGTGAGGTGATGGATTGTCACCTCCGGTGAGGTGACGGATTGTCATCTTCTCCCGACACCTCTTTGTGGGGGGCTAGGTTATGGCTCTGTTCCTCAGTAGGCCTAAAGAACTCCGTAACCGATGCGGCCCAGTAGTTGGAAACAATCTCAGCGAGATAGCTTTAGGGAGCCACTGGGGCTCACCCAGAATTTGGCATTTCATTACATTCATTTTTTGTTTAAGTGCACTAGGAAATTTACCTAATTTAAGCTGTATAGTTAATGGATTAAATGGAAAATAATTATATATTTTCTAATCATTAGCTAAAAAATATTCTAGGATAAGATTGTGGCTTGTTCTGTATCCACTGTATCTGTAATCTTAAATATAAATTGAAGTTTTTTTAATTTATAGTTGAAAGACGTAGCCTCCTTCTCTGCAGAAAAATGAAGTATGAACATGGCCTTCCACTTTTCAACTTGGACTCGGAGATAAAGTTTTTGCGTAGTCACGGTAGACTGAGGAGTCGTCACGAACTAGTTAGGGGCAAGATAATGCAAGATACAAAAGACTCGACTTCTAGAGTTCTAGACAGATTTCAGGTTAGTATTTATTGTTGAGTTATTGAATTAGAATATAGTATGCTCGTTGACCAAACCACAACTAGAATGTGAAGGGACGACGACGTTTCAGTCCGTCCTGGACCATTCTCAAGTCGAAACTCTTTCTAGTGTGTGGTTTGGTCAACATATTTCAGCCACGTTATTGTGATTCCTCATCTGCATATAGTATGATCATTTCTCATGTTGTACACTAATACTGTACTCTGAGCTGTGGTGATAGTGTTAGTCTTACAAACTACAGCAGCACTAAATACTCCTCTAAAATGACTGAAATGTGTTCTCTCTCTGGCTCTTTGGTCCCGCCTCTTAACCGTCAATCAACAGGTGTACAGGTTCCTGAGCCTATTGGGCTCTATCATATCTAAACTTGAAACTGTGTATGGAGTCAGCCTCCACCTTCCTAATGCATTCCATTTGTCAACCACTCTGACACTAAAAAAGTTCTTTCTAATATCTCTGTGGCTCATTTGGGCACTGTTTCCACCTGTCCCCTAGTCTTACAAACTAGGTCTGTCTCTGTGTCTGTCTCTGTCTCTGTTTCTCTCTGGGTGTGTGGGTGTCTCATCTATTATTTTTGGTCGTGTCCTCCGGCCTGCGGTGGCGTTGGGTCTTTCCTCCTCGGGTGGGACTGGCAGGGCAGGTCTCTTTCCTGCGCTCTGTTGGATTATCCTGTTATCCTGTAGTGGGTTCACTTGGGCGTGGTCAAAACGACAGCATCGCTCATGTGGGTTTGTCGCGTGTTTTCAGTTCCGTAACGGGACTGTGCGGATCTGCAATTCATACTGGACTTCTCCTCTCTGAACCCCTGGGTCTTTTGCCCCTCCTTTTGGGTGATCACTCTGTCTTAGGTGTAGCTGCTTTTGGCACGGGTGCCTGGATGGTGTCTCTGGACCTCCGGGACGCGTATTGGCGCTTCTCGATTCATCCGGGGTTCGTTGACTGGCTTGGTTTTGTTGTGGGGCAACAGGCTTACCACTTTCATTGCCTTCTCTTCGGTTTGAGTCTGGCACCTCGAGTGTTCACATGCGTTACCCAGGTCGTGGTGACCCATTTGCGTCTATTAGGGGTTCGGGTTCTGGCTTACCTCGACGACTGGCTTGGGTGGGCTCCCAACCAGTTCGTGTATCTGCTCGGCAGAGATTTAGTTCTTTCCTAGCTCGCCAATTTTGGGTTCTTGGTGAACTAGAGGAAGTCCCATTTGATTCTCTCTCGGGATCGGACTTGGCTGGGTCGTGTGTGGGACTCTCGGACAGCTTCCTTGTGTCTCCTTCCTGCGGTGTTGTTGCAGCTGTGGTCCCACCTACGACTGTTTTTGGAGGGCACCTGGGTCACACTTCGGTTGTTTGAGCGGCTGTGCGGGAGCCTGAACTTCGCCATGCTGGTCTACCCGTCGGGTCGGATCTGGCTTCGGCAGCTGTTCTGGTTTCTTCGGGGACGTTCCTTCCGCCACTCTTGCGATCACATCCCAAGAGTTTTGTGTCGGCTGCTGCATCGCCGGCTTCCTTTGCGGGCTTTTTGGGGTTCTGTGCTGTGGCACCTCTCGGAGCTCACTCGATGTGCTAACGGATGCCTCATCTCTCGGATTTGGTTTTGTGACCAGTATTCACTAGGCCGGCCAGGCTCTGTGGTGTCCATCCTTCCGTTGGGCTCACAGCACGCCGCGGGAGTTTGGGACGGTGTGACATTCGCTTCAGAGGGTTTGTGTCGCTCGCGGAGCAATGATCCGGCTCCATTTGGACTGCTTTCCTGTGGTTCATTGCCTGAACCATGTGATTTAAGGTGGTCCTTGGCTCTTTGGGGCTGGGCTAGTTGCTTCGGGTGACTCGTCTGCCACGTTCTCGGGTTTTGGCTCTCTTGGTGGTTCACGTTCAGGGGGTTTCAAACGTCCTGCCGGATGGCCTTTCTCGGTTCATTCCCCCTATCCACGGAACGGACGATTAACACCAACTCGTTCATTTGACTCTGCCAGACGTACGAGCGCCCGGAGGTGGACATCTTCGCATCGGCGTGGTCGCGGCATCTTCCAGTGTATGTGGTACCCTTCCCAGACTGTGAGGCTATCGGGGTTGATGTCTTTTGGCTGGACTCTTCGAGGTGAAGTTACCTGTACCTCTTCCCACCAATTCGGTTGTTGCTCAGAGTCCTGGTTCACTTGGTGACTTACTAGAGTTGAGTTGTCCTGTTGGCTCCTTGGTGACCAGCCCAGCCCTGGTTTCAGGAGCTTCTTGCTCGATGTCCGAACCCGAGGGTCTTCACCCAGCTTTGCCTCTTTGAGCAGATTGGTCTGGTACGGTACTTGGCTGGTTCGATCTACTCTACTCTTCGCGTCAGATTTTTTTATGCAGGTTTATCTCCACTTGTATGATGAGCAGGTGGCTTCGTTGATGGTGTCCCACCTGCAAGTTTCGTCTCGACAGCAGTATGAAATTTCCTGGCAGTCCTTTAGGCTCTCTTCATAGGTTTGTGAGGCACTGGCGGAGCCGCTGCAGCTTGCATTCAGGATGGATGTCACTTCTACTTCGTTCAGCAAGCTTTCTCGGGTGTTGTTTCACCTCCAGCCTATTCATGCACTGCCTGAGCTGTCCTGGTCGTTGGACTCGGTGCTCTCTTTTCTCTTTTCTCCTCGGTTCAGGACTGTTTTTCTAAGACTTTTCTTGTTGGCATTGGCCTCTGGGGGGACGGGTTGGGGAGCATCATGCTCTCCTCCGGTGCAGGGGGTTTCTGCTCTTTTGGTTCTGTTGTTCGTTTTATTCGTTTGTAGCCATCTCCTTTTCTGGCGAAGAATGAGTCTGCTGCCTTCTGTAGGGGTCCTTGGGTTGTTGATGCTTGGTTGGTTCGGCCTGGTGTGCATCATGTTTTGTGTCCGGTTGCAGTTCTTCGCCGTTATTTGTGAACCATGGCCTCCGTGGCAGGGGACGCACTTTGGGTGGACCCGGTTTTCCTTCTTCCCTGTTCCAGGGCGCGGGTCTCCCAGGTCGTCCGCAGGATTATTCGGTCTAGCCAGACTGTGGTCTGTCCCCGTGCCCACAACGTTCATAAGTTCCCTGCTTTGGCTGCTGTTTTTGGTAATATGTTCTGGGCAGGCATTCAGGCACGGGGCTTTTGGAGGTCAAACAGGGTTCTGGCCACACGATACCTCGTTAATGTTCCTAGCCCTTCTTGGACATGTGTAGCCTTGGGTCACAAGTTGCAGCCAGTTGTTTCGACTTAGAGTTGAGGAGCGAGTGATGGCTGCCTCCCGGGTAAGTCAGTTTTCTTCTTTATCTTTGGTTAGGTAGCTCCGGTGAGCCGAAGAGGTTCTCCACAGAAAATCAGCGTTGAATGTAATGAAACACCATTTTTTGGGTGAGACCCCGATCAGGTTTTTTTTTTTCGCATTTTTTATATTTGGCCTCTGAACTAAGGAGAATAGCCGGCGTGGAGGTCTGGGGACCTCCCCTGTCCCCCTCCCGGGGAGGGGGAGGTTGCGCAGACGGATGCATGCCGGCTGTGGTGATGTCATGCTTGTTTGCTTGTTTTTGATTGGGGAATTCTGCTTGTTACTTCGCCTTTTGGTTTACAAATTTTGACCATCAGTAGTTTGTTTGGGAATTCCTGCCTTTCTGGGTGCCTGACCTGGTAGATGACAGACATAGACTGCTTCCAATTACACGGGGGTGTCTTTAGGCCATTGCTCTTCGTGCCTCTTCTTGAGGGGGGGGGGGGCCAGGTTCTGGCTCTGGTCCCTGGTAGGCCTATAACTCCATCGATTGACTATTGCCTTGGTCTAATATGTGCACATCAGCCCGGTATAACTCCGGGAAGAGCCGAAGGGGCTCTCCACAGAAAATGGCATTTCATTACATTCAACGCTGGGTTTTTGTTTAATGTAAGGCGAGGACTAGCAATCCCTGTTAGGAGGCCCTAGCCATCCTTACATTTGGAGGCTGTGTCTGGGAGTAGGACAACCTTGACTTTACATCTGGAGGACCCATCCGAGGAAGGAGAGTTTTCCCGACCTCACATTTGGGAATTTATTCAAGGCAAAGGAGGATTCACTACTTGGCATGTGTGGCCCCCAAATGTGTGCATTTGGGGGGCTCATCCAGCTCGTCTTCCAACTTACACAACATATACATGACCCTTGTCGTATCAGGTGTGTATTGGCGAACAGCAGCAGAAGCAAGAGGAAATGACCAGTTTCTTGGTGAAGCTTGTTGGTCGTCCTGCCGGAACACCGCCACTCATCCACAGTCCCTATACTCTCAGGTAAGACCAGATATAAATGTTGAGTAGGTAGTATAATCTGAAGGGAGAAGTGCCTATACAGTTTTCCTTCTAAATAGCTCTTGTTATATTTACCAAGATCAGTGGTAGGTTAGTTTTGTGACAAAAGCCAACATGGATTGATTACTTTCCTAAATGCATTTTAGCAATGGTCCATGTCAACTATCAAGTTTGCTGAAAAGTGATCACAAGTACATGCAACTGCCTATGTAAAAATACATTTAACGGGTGTTTAGTGTTTTGTTGTAAATCAAAAGTTTGTTTGAAAAGCAAACCAAAAGCATTGGTATGCTGTACTAAAGAAATAAAGCTTTCAGTCTTGCAGTAGGATTTTGATTACATGCAGGTATACATTCCTAGAGACTTCCTCTTAAAATCAACAATGTTGAATAACAAAATAAACCTGGCTGTCCTAAGACCTGTACTGTACAGTAATTTCCTCTTTGAGAAAAAGTCTCTGCTAGACTATTCAGCGAATTGAGATAAACAGCTTGGTTGACAGCTTGGTCATGCAAAAGGAGACGTAGTTTTTGCCATGTTTGGCGGGGATAAATTCGGAAAAAGATTTAGAGGCCAATATTAAATGTAATGATGTTCCTGTTTCTGGTGGATCCTTGGTGCTAGCCTGCTTGATACCTGCTACCTGCTAGCCACCTGGATAGTTCTTCCCAATTCAATTCAGTCAAGGCCCTTGTGAGTTATTGTAAGCCTACTAGGGATTAGAGACCAAAACCTGGTACAAAGCACAGGAGAATCCCAGATCATCCTAACCAAGAAAAAGCCACCAGAAAGGTGGGTGAACCAAAACATAGAAAACAAGATGATAAATGGAGATGAATGAAGCGCCTGGTCGTGAAGTAGTTCTCTTGTTAGTTCCACCTGCACTTTACCATGGTACTGTGCACCTTCCTCCTCGGTCCTCTAGATGACAGACATAGACTGATTCCAATTACACGGGGGTGTCTATAGGCCAATGCTCTTTGTGCCTCTTCTTGAGGTGGGGGGGCCAGAACGTTCCCCCCCTTTAAATGACCTCTGTCATTTAGCCAGGAAAATGGAAAAACTAAAGCCCTTGAACAGAGGTTCCTTGGTGGCTCCCAAGGAGACATATCCTTGGAAGCCTTTGCCATATCTGGTCAGAGATCCGGATAACCGGAGATTATACTGTATTACATAAATTGTCAAGTACACATTTCAAGATCTACAGAATCAAACAAGAAGGTAAACTATTACAAGGTAAGCTGAAGTTTCTATTTTAAATGATATTTTTGATTTATAGTACAGAATGTGTGAAAATTCAAATTGTCGGTTGTGGTACAAAAAAATTGCAAATAAAGTAGTAAGGTAGTTTTTGGACTTCCCTGGTAAGAATTCTGCGTATCAGGATGTCTGGTTTATTTAGTGAAGGTTACTTCCAGTCAGGATAAATGAGCTAAGACAGTAGTCATATGAACATCATGGTCTTGTGGGTAGACCACTATCTGGCTAAACTTGATGACACTGCAGACAACCTGGGACAAACAGGCATTGGAACCAGGGACAAACAGGCACTGGAACCAGGGACAAACAGGCACTGGAACCAGGGACTCCAGATCCATAGATTGCCCTTCCTTTCCCCTTCCTCTGGTGCACCACTAGTGGTGAAGAAGTAACGGTGAATGGCCCCACAATCAGACATAACAAACAAAGCCCCCCCCCCCGCCCTTGGCAGAACCTTAGTATCAATCATCAAAGGACCCCACTGGAAACCACCCATCTCATTCTGAGCCAGAAAGGAAGTAGAGGGCTCTAAGCAAAGAAAATGGTCCTCATGGCCAAATGAGGAAACCCCCCCCCCTCCCTCTTCTGAAGGGTTTTTGACATTTTTGGTCCAACTGCTTTATTCCTTACCTTGATCCTTTGATTAATTCCCGATTACTCGAGGATAAATCCCTTGAGTAATTTTTCCACTTGTTCTTGCAATACCTCTATGTATTCTATGGTGTTCTCTGGAATTGGCATTGTGTCTGGGTCTCTGCAATCCTCATTTTGCATACATTGTTTGGTGTACACGGGCCAGATTCACGCAGCAGTTATACAAGTACTTACGAACGTGTACATCTTTCCTCAATTATTGATGGCTTTGGTTATATTTAAACAGTTTACAAGCATGAAAACTTCCCAATCAACTATTAATGTTATAAACAGCTTCCTGGTACTTTGGAGCTCATTAACTGTTTAATAATTGTAAATAAAGCTGCCAAAGATTGAGAAAAAGATATATGTACAGGTCTGTAAGTGCTTGCTTAACTGCTTGGTGAATCTGGCCCAAGTTTCTGAGTATTGGGTTCTCATATCTACATTTAAAACTGTGTATGGAGTCTGCTTCCACAACATTACTGCATAGTGCATTCCATTTAACTACCCCTGACACTGAAAAAATTCTTTCAAATATCTCTGTGGCTCATTTGAGTACAAAGTTTCTGCCTGTGTTCCCTTGTTCGTGTTCCTTAATACTTTGTCTTTGTCGACCCTGTTAATTCCTCCGAAAAATTTGTCGGTGGTGATCATGCGTCTCCTAACTCTTCTGTCTTCCAGGGACGTGAGGCTTAATTCTCATAGCCTTTTCCTCGTAACTCTTACCTCGCAGCTCTGGGACTAGTCTGGTGGCATACCTCTGAATCTTTTATAACTTTGTCTTGTATTTAATTAGGTATGGACTCCAGGCTGGATCTGCATACTCCAGGATTGGTCTGACCAATGTGGAATACAAGGTTCTGAATGATTCTTTATAGAAGTGTATAAATGTAGTTCTTATGTTGGCCAATCTAGCATATGCCGCTGATGATATCCTTTTGATGTGGGCTTTTGGGGACAGGTTCAGTGTGATATCAACCCCCGCTCTTTCTCTCTACATGACTATTAAAGGATTTCACCTCCCAGATGGTACCTTGTGTTCGGCCTCTTGCTCCCTTTTCCTAATTTCATAAATTTACACTTGAGTTAAACTTAAGCACAGTAGTCATTTTCTAGACCATTTCTCCAGTTTGTCCAGGTTGTTTTGTGTGTGTGTGTGTGTGTGTGTGTTTACTAGTTGTTTACTAGTTGTGTTTTGCGGGGGTTGAGCTTTGCTCTTTCGGCCCGCCTCTCAACTGTCAATCAACTGTTTTACTAATTTTTTTTTTTCTTCCACACCACACACACACACACACACACACACACACACACACACACACACACACACACACACACACACACACACACACACACACACACACACACACACACACACCCCAGGAAGCAGCCCGTGACAGCTGACTAACACCCAGGTACCTATTTACTGCTAGGTAACAGGGGCACTTAGGGTGAAAGAAACTTTGCCCATTTGTTTCTGCCTCGTGCGGGAATCGAACCCGCGCCACAGAATTACGAGTCCTGCGCGCTATCCACCAGGCTACGAGGCCTCGTGGGGCCTTGTAGTGTGTGTGTGTAAGTTTTCTTGTGGGGGTTGAGCTCTGGCTCTTTTGACCCGCTTCTCAACTGTCAATCAATCAACTTTTTATTCCCCCCCCTTCCCCACACACACACACACTCCCCTTTTCCCCCCAGGAAGCAGCCCATAACAGCTTTCTAACTTCCAGGTACCTATTTACTGATAGGTAACAGGAGCATCAAGGTGAAAGAAACTCTGCCCATTTGTTTCCGCCATCGCCGGGGATCAATCCCTGGATCTAGGATTACGAATACCGAGCGCTGTCCACTCAGCCACCAGTCCCCTTTTTATTATTATTATTATTATTATTATTATTATTATTATTATTATTATTATTATTATTATTTTCTACCACAAATGTGGCCACACATTTACAATGCGAACCAGCATATATACATTTTCTTCTGTCCTCCATGGACAGGGTTAGAGATGTGTTAAACATATAGTTCAAGGGTTTATTGAACAATCAACCACAGAAGGTGATTCGGTGCTTTTAAAATGCTAAGCTAACCTACATACGTAAATACATAGATACACAGATTTACGTATGCCCTACATAAAGTGTTCGATGTGTCTTTTACATAGTGTCATTAATATGCACCCTGGTGTGTGTGTGTGTGTACTCACCTAATTGTACTCGCGTAATTGTGCTTGCGGGGGTTGAGCTTGGCTCTTTGGTCCCGCCTCTCAACCGTCAATCAACTGATGTACAGGCGATGAGTCACAATAACGTGGCTGAAGTATGTTGACCAGACCACACACTAGAATTTGAAGGGACGACGACGTTTCGGTCCGTCCTGGACCATTCTCAAGTCGATTGTGATGAGGTAGGGACAAGCAATAAATAGGCAAGAGAGAGCTGAGGAGGAAAGTCAGGTGAAGGGGATAGTAGTAATGAAAACTGCAGCAGGCCTATTGGCCCATACGAGGCAGCTCCTATTATAACTATTATTGATTGGTCTTCCTCCAAAATAATCTTTCCTGCCTCTACTCTACACAGACGCCGTCTTGTAGAATCGGCTCTTATAAACAATGTACCCAACATGAACTTGAGTCCAGGCTTTGTTGCTGTGGACTCTTCCCTTTCACAGTACAGTATATACTCAAATGCTCTAATCTTTCTAACAAACGTGACTTAACATAAGCTTTCCCCCTTCCATTTCTTTCTTTCTCTTTCCTTTTCTTTCTCTCTTCTCCCTTTTTCTGTTCATTGTCTTCTTCTACGCTCCCTTGCTATCCTCCTCTTTTTCCTATTACTATCTCCTTCGGTGGTTATAATAGGAGCTGCCTCGTATGGGCCAATAGGTCTGCTGCAGTTCTCATTACTACTATCCCCTTCACCTGACTTTCCTCCTCAGCTCTCTCTTGCCTATTTATTGCCTGTCCCTACCTCCTCATCACAATCGACTTGAGAATGGTCCAGGACGGACCGAAACGTCGTCGTCCCTTCAAATTCTAGTGTGTGGTCTGGTTAACTGATGTACAGATTCCTGAGCCTACTGGGCTTTATCATATCTACATTTGAAACTGTGTTTGGAGTCAGCCTCCACCACATCACTTCCTAGTGCATTCCATTTACTAACTACTCTGACACTGAAAAAGTTCTTTCTAATGTCTCTGTGGCTCATTTGGGTACTCAGCTTCCACCTGTGTCCCCTTGTTTGCGTCCCTCCAGTGTTGAATAGTTTATCCTTGTTTACCCGGTCGATTCCCCTGAGGATTTTGTAGGTTGTGATCGTGTCCCCCCTTACTCTTCTGTCTTCCAGTGTCGTAAGGTGCATTTCCCGCAGCCTTTCCTTATAACTCATGCCTCTTAGTTCTGGGACGTGTGTGTGTGTGTTTGTGTGTGTGTGTGTGTGTGTGTGTGTGTGTGTGTGTGTGTGTGTGATTAATTACCTAAGTGAAGTTACAGGATCTTGGTGTCCCGTCTTCTCAGCACTATTTGTCTTATAATGCTTTGAAAGTACAGTACTGATGGTTTTGGCCTCTACCACCTGCTCACCTAACTTGTTCCAACTGTCTACCACTCTGTTTGCAAAAGTGAATTTTCTTATATTTCTTCGGCTGCTTTGTTTAGTTTAAATCTTTGACCTCTTATTCTTGAAGTAGCAGGTTACAGGAATTCTTCCCTAACAATTTTGTTGATTTCCATTACTATTTTGTACATAGTGATCACATTGCCTTTTTTCTTGTACAGTATCTTCATGTTTTGGCATATTTATTGCCTCTCGCCTGTCCTTGTAGCTCGTCTTTCAGTTCCTATAGCCATTTCGTTGCATGGCTTTGCACCTTTTGCTGTTTAATACAGCACTATGATATAAATATAAAGTTATGCTAGGATGTGAACTATGGTTTATATACTTATTATTTTTTGAGATGCATTCTGAGCCTATTTTCCACAATTCATATTTTTTGTTTTTGCAGGAAACTGAAGCCATACATCATGCAAGATTACGAGTCACTTCCTCTGAAACTTAAACTTCTACGAGAGATTATCTCGTATCCACATCGCAATGAAGTCGGATGGTGCCTGCCTCCCAGACATCCAATAGATTATTGTTATGTGACACCCAAATATATTCCTGCCATGAATCAGCTAGCAAGGCATTTCTTCTGGCCTGGGATTGATTGTATGTGTTTCCATTAAGAACAAAATTGCAATAATTGTTTCATTGTCTTGCATATTGAAAATTAGATAGATTTAATTATAGAGCGGCAGCTGCTAACCTGCAGTAAAACATCTATGGGAGTTGCCCAAGTTTTCCAGCAGCAGTAGTAGGGGGAGGGGGAGGGGGAGTGTGAGAGGGGGAGTGTGTGTGTGAGAGGGGGAGAGTGTCTACTCACCTAATTGTGCTTGCGGGGGTTGAGCTCTGGCTTTGGTCCCACCTCTCAACCGTCAATCAACTGGTGTACAGATTCCTGAGCCTACTGGGCTCTGTCATATCTACATTTGAGACTGTGTATGGAGTCAGCCTCCACCACATCACTTCCTAGTGCATTCCATTTACTAACTACTCTGACACTGAAAAAGTTCTTTCTAATGTCTCTGTGGCTCATTTGGGTACTCGGCTTCCACCTGTGTCCCCTTGTGCGTGTGCCACCTGTGTTAAATAATCCATCCTTGTCCACCCTGTCAATTCCCCTGAGAATTTTGTATGTGGTGATCATGTCTCCCCTAGCTTTTCTGTCTTCCAGCAACGTGAGGTGCAGTTCACATAGTCTGTCCTCATAACTCATGCCTCTGGGACTAGTCTAGTGGCATACCTCTGAACTTTTTCTAGCTTCGTCTTGTGCTTGACTAGATTCAGGCTCCATGCTGGGGCCGCATACTCCAGGATTGGCCTCACACAATGAGGGCTACAGTTGTGGAGTCCTGTCTTCCGTCCCGTGTGAGAGGGAAAGAGTGGCACATTCTGTGAACAACCCTCAAATTTGCTCAAAGCAAAAGTGAACTTGGGAGTGGTATCCATAGTACAACTGAGCCTGCAGGGGTTTTCCCAGGGCCTGCAGGGTGAGTTAGTCCTGCAGGAAGTCTAGGTACTGGGGTCCGCTATGCCGGTAAACCCTGTCAATGCAAGCAATCAGACCGCCTGAAGCCAAAGACAAAACCAAGGGGACAGCAAGGCTGTTCCACCCTGTGCCCCCAAGGCTAACCTAATACACACTCAAGGCTAGCCTAATACACACTCAAGGCTAGCCTAATACACACTCAAGGCTAGCCTAATACACACCCAAGGCTAGCCTAATACACACCCAAGGCTAGCCTAATACACACCCAAGGCTAGCCTAATACCCAAGGCTAGCCTAATACACACCCAAGGCTAGCCTAATACACACCCAAGGCTAGCCTAATACACACCCAAGGCTAGCCTAATACACACCCAAGGCTAGCCTAATACACACCCAAGGCTAGCCTAATACACACCCAAGGCTAGCCTAATACACACCCAAGGCTAGCCTAATACACACCCAAGGCTAGCCTAATACACACCCAAGGCTAGCCTAATACACACCCAAGGCTAGCCTAATACACACCCAAGGCTAGCCTAATACACACCCAAGGCTAGCCTAATACACACCCAAGGCATGAACCCTCAAGCCGAAGAGGCAAGTAAAACAGAATCCAAATGATAAATTCTTCAAAGAAACCCCAGAGACCATGACCAGACTGCAGCAAACAAGTAGCCAGAGAAAAACTTTGGCATGCCGTGTACTAACTTAATAGCAGGCCATGCAGGCCACAGTGCACCCTACCAGCCCTAAACGCTCCCAAACCAAAGGAAAAAAAAGTCGCAGACCATCGGTGTACCCACACCAAAGACCACCTGAAGCAAGGAAGGCCCCTAAAAGGAGTGTCCCGAACTCCCCAGGAAAAAGTAGTACAGTACTTGCAGAGCACACAGGGGAAGAAAACTCTGAGCATGTGCAGCCCCAGGCACTAAATGCCTGGCTCACACATACTTCCATGTAAGAACTCAGCCCAAAGGCAAAAAACACCACTCATAAAAGGAAAACCAGAGTCAGATCGACGACGGCCATCAGGCACAGACATCAGTCTAGAATTGGCCGGTGTGGGGCCTGGCTGATCTGGGCTGGCTCCCTCTGCCCCCCAGCAAGGAGGAGGAGGATGGTGGAGCAAACTAGCTGGGGGGAGGGAGGCTAATTTCACAAAAGTTTGGCTGTTTTCATTGTTGGAGAGTTGTTTTGACAATTTTGGGGTTGCAGTGTTGTGTTTAACCATTCAGTGGTTGGTTTTAATTTGCCAATCTTTCTGGGTGCCTTACCTTGGTGATGGCAAAGGTGATAACCTTTAAATGTAAAGTGATCATAGGCCATTGTTTTCTGCATCTCTGTGAGGGGACCAAGTTCTGGCTCGTGGTCCCTGGTAGGCAGATATAACTCCACAACTGATAGAAGTGATCAGTGTATGACAGCTTCAGGGAGCCAACAGGGCTCCCACAGAAAGTAAAGTTGCTTGGGAATAATAGCCATTTTCTAAACATTGGAGGCATAATAATCAATTTGGAAATAACATTTGCTATCCAGAAAAAAAGTTAAACAGTGTAATTAGCAAGTGTGTGAAAATCTCGTGTGAGGTATTTGAAATTTTGTTCATTCCTTGGGGTATGGAGTGACTAGGGGGCTATACAGAAAGTGCTATTTTAAATCAAATTTACTTTTATATTTATTTAGATCGAAGAGTCATTTAATAGCATGTCTTTAAACTAGCAGTTTTCATCTATGCTCTGTTAAACTAATTAGTAACTAATTGTTTATTCATTACAGTGTCAGAAGTGCTACAGTATCCAGATCATACTTGTGTTGTCCTCTACCGTAGCTTAGTGGTGGGGTTTGGGGTGCTCGTTCCTGACACAGGCTTCAACATGGCATACCTGTCATTCCTGCTAGTGCACCCAGAATGGCGACATGCTGGTATTGCTACATTTGTTCTCTATCACTTGATTCAAGTAAGTTAATCAGTATACAACTATTAATTAGTCAGCTTTAATTAAATATAAACCAAATTGGCAGTTTGCATGGGATGTGATGTCCCCATTGCTTACCACAGTGGTACAAACAACCTTGTATCACATGATAAATGGTTGGGGAAGACTGGGCCTGAGATCCATCATCATCCACCCCACGGAGACCAGGCTTTTACTGCTGTGTCAAATGTAAGGGAAGGGGGGGATGGGATAAATTAAAATATAAGAGGTTGGAAGGGTTGAAAGAGTTTGAGGGAAGATTTAATGTGCTAGATTTATATAGAGTAAGAATTTTGATGTTAGTATACTTGGCCAAAGGGCGTTCCTTTAAGCATATTTGTTTAAATGTGGCCACATTGTTGATTTTATAGTGTAAGCTTTCTATGCTTCTAATTTCTTAGTGTCAGTATTGAGAAGAGCAATTGAATTACCAAAATTCACAGTAAAGACACTCTAGTAATTAATAAAGGATATATTTTTTACAATGTTTCATTCCATCCTGGAACATCTTTTGGTAAAGAAAGAAAGAATACATAAGGTGCAAATTGGGGTTCAATACACATGTGGAAGGGATGAGGTTTTGTGGGGGTGAAGTGAAGGTTCAAAAGAATATGGGGCAATTGAACAGTAAGGAATAGGGGAATGAGGTAGAAATAAGGGGGAAAGGGCCAGTCAGGCATTGGGTAAGGCGTTTAGTGAAACTTTGGTACTTTTGGTGGGCAGGGAGAACTCGGTAGAGGTGGTGTTATGAATTCCATAACGACACCTCGTTTGGTCAGTGGTGGATTCCAGGATTTTTGTATTATCTACTATCATGTTTCTAGTGAGTGTTGTTATGTACACTTTGCATATGGTTTCTATGGGTGCCAGCTTGTAGATGGCAGGCAGTCTTCTCGAAAGGTTTGTAGTGGTCATATCAATATAATTTAATCGAAGGTATTATGTATTCTTTCTTTACCTGAAGATGTTCCAGAGTGGAACAAAACATTGTAGAAAATAATTCCTTCAATAATTACTAGTTTCTTTACCGTGAATTTTGTTAACTTGATTGCTAATTATTGCTTGGTTAACTTTTGAATATCCCGCACATTTGATTGTGCTACATAATCTCCCTGGCTTGGTGCCTCTTTTCATAATTAATGACTTGTCATTATGTGAAAAATGAAAGATTATTGAAAAACCTGATTGATAACTGTGCTTGTATTAAGATGAATGCTACATAATATCTGATATAAAACAATAAATGTAATATCTGGAGTATTGGCTGATCAGAGTTTCTCAGTATACATGTATAGAATTTAGTATGGAACATAATCCAGGACTAAATTATTCTTGCTGGGTGGTCATTAAGCTATTATTGTGGCCTTAATAACCCTTCAGGTTCATAGGCCTTAAACCCAACAACAAACCAAAATATATATGTAAAAGTAAGAGGACTTCATGAGTGTAAGAGGCAATTGTTTACTAAGTGTAATGAACAAATTGTATGGCAGCGTAGTGAATGAAAGAATAAACAAAAAAACTGAAATAATTCAGTGAACAAAATTGGTCCAAGCCTGGCCTCAGACCGGGCTTGGAGAGTAGAACTCCCGAAACCCTCTCCCAGGTATGCTCCAGGTTCCATTGTGAAACAAACTAATGGAACAGAGCATATGAGTGTTGATAAATGCCACATACATTTTATAAATTAAGAAAGCATATAACAAAGTGAATGGTCTTTCTCTGGAGAGTAATGAACATATTTGGAGTTTGGAATGTTATTAAATACTGTGGAGAGTTCTTACTGTTAATAGTGCATTGAGTAGCTGTTCCAATAATATTGTCAGAATTATCCATGGTAGTTCAATGAATATATGCATGGGGGTCATAAGGAAGGTCAGTTTGAGAATAAAAAGTGTTAATTTAGTATATTACAGGAATGAGATATGATTGAGGTGTTTGTGTGGGTTTGTACATCAGTAAAACTTGCACCTGATCAACAATTGCCTTTCTCAAAAGAACTGCTTCATCAACAAAAAGACCTGCATAATATGTATTTATAAGAAGTTTAAATTAATTTACAAGTTTTATTGACGTGAGTAGCCACACCACCTCACCCACCACCTTCATCTTTCCCATCTCCCTACCTCTTTTCTGTCCCTCCATACCTTCCTACTTCTTACCTCTGTGCCTACCTACCTACCTCTTTTTCCTTATCCCCCCCCCCCCATCCTTTCCAGGTACCTACAACCTCTTGTGCCTTTTCCCTCCCACCCCCCATACCTACCTACCTACCTCTTTCCTATCCCTCTCCACCTATACCTACACCCACTTTCCTGGCTCCTCCTCTCCTTAGCCCCACTCCCATCCCCCTCATTATATTAATTACTAACCAATAGTTACAGTAAGCATTTCTCTTGGGCCACAGACATGCATGGGTAAAGACGTGACTCTACATGTTTCTGCAACAAATCCAGCACTCATTTTGTATCAGCGTTTTGGCTTCAAGGTGGAGGAGTTTCTCTCTGGATTCTATGACAAGTATCTACCTGAGGACAGCCCAGAATGCAAACATGCCATGTTTCTACGCCTCAGCAGATGATTTTTTATCGAGTTTCTTAAAGTTCTGGAGAAATAAAAATACATGTATAGAAAAATAGTTTTTATTATTACCCATGTTTCCCAGTTTAAAACTCCAAATATGTGCAATCACCCTGAATTCCACACACAAAAAAGAATGCTCAAAGATCATATTTCCGATAGTCATCGTATTTTAAAACTGCAGGGGGGATTTGGGCAAAATATGACCAGTCGTCATTTTCATTAATTTGCATATTGTCGGTATAAAAGTGGTAATTTAAGACTCCAAATACAGTGTACCTCAGCTTACGAATTTAATCCGTTCCCAGAGACGGTTCGTAACCCAAAAATTTGTAAGCCGAAGGGAATTTTCTCATAAGAAATAATGAAAATTGTATTAATCTGTTCCACACCCCCAAAAATTTTAACTGAAAAGAAAGTTTTATGTATAATTCACCCAAATCTTTAGTACTGAAGTATGTACAAGTTATTGCTTACCTTTATTGATGACTTGTTGGTGTATGGAAGATGGTGAGGAGGGAGGGGGAGGGGAGGAGAGGTGTTAGTGTTTGGAAGGGGAGTCCCCTTCCATTATAACATCAGGCAGTGATGACTTCTCTAGGGTACTCTCTCTTTTAGGTATGTTTTGCATACCACTAGGACCTGCTTGTGGCTCACTGCTTGTTTTTCTCTCTGAAAATCTATCCATAGAGGCTTGTTTTTCCCTACGTTGTTACATAGCCTTCCCGGTTTTGTGCCTTCTTTTGATAATTACTTACTTACTTTCCCTACGTTGTAACACTTATCCGTAGTAAAGCATCACAGTGTCCTTAAAAAGGTTAAGGTTGTTGATATGCCTTTTGCCACTTTAGCACTCATAATGTCCTGTTTCTAAGCAATTAACAGTGCATATCGTTTTCTAAGCAATTAACAGTGCATATCATTGACATAGATTTGTTGTACTGCCTAGCTGGTTCAACAACCCGTATACCACTTTCATGTTTACGAATGATCCCTTGATTTTCCTCTATGGTCATCTTCACGTGTGTTTTCTTGAATTGAACCTTACTACTGACTTTCTTGGGACCCATGGCAAGATACATAATAATAACTTTTATGTTCAAATACCCAAAAATCCGAAAAACATTGAAATTCTTTACAAAGAATTAAAGTGCGATTGTCACTAGGTGGGAGGCACTGGTAAACTGAGGCACGGTCACCGTGCCACCCTGCGCTAGGTCGGCCATACACGTATCGACAAACTACTCGATGGTCTTCTTTCTCCCCCTTCCCTCCAGCATTTTAAGACAGTCAAGTTTGGCTGGGTTCCCAGCCATATTGGCGCTTCCTTAAATGTGTGTGCAGATGCTGTCGCTAAGGAGTCTTGGACTTTAGAGTCTACGGAGCATCTGGACTTGTCTCATTTCCCACAAAGGTGTTTCTTATTTCGACTTTTACCCAGTTATTCATTTTCAGTCAGTGGCCATTGGCAGGGTCGTTGGTTTTCTATTACTGGTAACAAACTGCTTGCTCTTCAGGATAGTGTCCCCCTATGGTGTTGCTTCTACCACTGTAATTGGCGGTGGGAAACGGCTCTGGCGAGGTTACATATTGGCCATACACGTTTAACTCACGGGCACTTAATGGAGCACTGCCCTGCTCCTTATTGTCCAAACTGCATTGTCCCCTCTTACCCTTGTTGAATGTCTTGACCTCCAAGATGTGCGTGCATCTTGCTTCCCTACTGTCCCTCGTTAGAATCCTTGGTGAATCGGATACCATTGATATAATTCACCTTATGCACTTTTGTTCTAGTATTGGCATCCTTGGTGATATTTAGCTCCTTTTGAATATCCCGCACATCTGACGGTGCTACATGGTCTTCCTGGCTTGGCGCTTTTTGATAATTACTTACTTAGGCAAAATATGACATCGCTCTTTTCACTAATTTGCGTGATGACCAAACCCCACACCAGAAGAGGAGATGACGACGTTTCGGTCCGGCCTGGACCATTATCAAGTCGATTATAATCTTTTGGAGTGGTTTGGTCATCATGTCATTAGCCACGTTGCGACTCTTCTACTAATTTGCATAATTTCGGTATAAAAAGTAGTAATTTAAAACTCCAAATATGTGCAATTACCCAGAATTCCGCTAAAAAATAACGGTCAAAAGTCATATTTCCAATATTCATAGTAATTGTCAAACTGCAGGTGGATTTTGGTAAGATGACAAATCGCCGTTTTCACTTAATATTATACAGTTATTCAAAACATCAGCTATTAATTCTAATAAATCATTTTAGTGCACTGCTAGCTTGTGTATGGGACCATTCTGTATTGCCTATCTTCTATCTATATATATTTCCGTAAAAGGCTGATAAGCGTATCTGAATAATTGGCCTGAATAATAAAGAACCCTGGCAGGGAGCGCGCGCACATGTTTGAGAACGGGTTGGTTTTCTCAGCCTCTAGAGACCTTGACTTCCCAGGACCCAGCGCCAGGAGCTGGTGAGGGTAAGTGTGAATTACAGGAAATGTTCCTCCTATCCTGAAAAATGTTGAAGGCGAGAAAGTTGAGACGTTGCTCTTACTGAAGGTGCAAAGCGGCGGATACTTATAGTCAGAAGTATGGGATTGGGTGATCATCAACTCAGATGTGTGTGATAGGGTCGATGTGGCCCATCGAACAGCCAACCCTTTGTACCATCATTGTTTGTGAATATCAGGTTTATTGTGTTTTCGTTCCTAGTTGGTTCTGTAATCTGTTGGTTGAGCGAGAATTTGTCGCAGAAACTCAACAGTTCTCTGACCTGCGGTGGATTATTTCCAGGTTGGTTTCCTGCTATGATATTGTTGTTTGTTATTCTCCATCTTAAAATGGTCGGGTTGAAGTCTCCAAGGACGATAATATCTGGTACTGGGTTTGCCAGGTTATCAAGGATATTCTCTATTTTGTGTATCTGCTTTGAATTCCTCAACTGTTGCATTTGGCGGTTTATATATTAGAATAACAACTAGGGTTTATTTGTTCTACTTTGATTCCAAGTACCTCTACCACCTAATTGGTTGAGTTTAGTAGCTCTGTACATACCAGATCCTTTTTAACGAGCAATATGTTAAGTCAATTGAAAGCAAATATTTATCATCATCCAGTGTTGTGTCAGGAACTTTGAGTTGTTGGGTTTCTTAGTCTGTTATTGCATATAACAGACTATATATATTGTAGTTGTCGAGCGGCCATTAACAGTTCTTGACTGACGGACGATTACTACTTCACTGCCAATTCTATTGCAAATGTTGCTCTGTTGTACCTGTTGTTCTTTTGCAGCATTTACAATAGAATGTTGTATTTGGTTTGTGAATTAGATTTGAAATTAACAACTTCAAACATTCAAACTGGGGATCATTATTGGTTCATTAAAGACTCGTTCTTATTTGGGGAAGCTCTGTACCTCAAGGTACAGTCCTTGCACCACTGCTTTTCCTTATTGTCCTATCAGATATAAACTCAAATACAAGGCACAGCTTCGTATCATCCTTTGCAGATGACACAAAAATCAGCATTAAAATTACCTCTGCTGAAGACATTGAAAAACTACAAGCAGATATTAATAAAGTTTTCGAGTGAGCAGCAGAAAATAACATATTGTTTAACAGTGATAAATTCCAGGTACTCAGTTACGGTTAAAATGAGGACCTTAAACACAATACAGGGTACAAAACAATCAAATTTGCCCATAGTAGTAAAGCAACATGTAAAGGATTTGGGAATAATGATGTCTGACGACATAACATTTAGGGAGCATAACCAAGCACATATTGCGTCAGCCCGAAAAATGATAGGATGGATTACGAGAACTTTTAAATCCAGGGATCCCATCACAATGGTTGTACTCTTCAAGTCACTTGTGTTGTCCCGTCTCGAGTACTGCTCAGTACTCACTTCCCCCTTCAGAGCAAGAGAGATTGCTGAAATAGAGAGAATACAGAGAACATATATGGCATACATAGACGCGATAAAGCACGTAAATTATTGGGATCGTCTGAAAGCTCTCCAAATGTACTCAATAGAAAGAAGACGAGAGAGATATCAAATAATATACACGTGGAAGATACTGGAGGACCAAGTACCAAATCTACACAATAAAATAATAACATACTGGAGTGAACGATATGGAAGAAAATGCAGAATAGACCCAGTGAAGAGCAGAGGTGCCATAGGCACAATCAGAGAACACTGTATAAACAATGAATGGAATGAACAGCACATGGCAAGTATTTTTGTTTTCGTCGTCGTCTTTGTCGTCGGTCGCAAGGCCGGTCTCGTCGACGTCGGTGGGGGCTCTCCAGAGCCTCTTGGTGTTGGTTGTGGGAGTTTCGGGTGGTCCGTTGTCGTCTTTGGATGTGGTGTCTTCGTTGTCAGGGGCAGCCAGGGTAGATGGCGTCCCTGTTACCGGACTGGTTGTGGGTCCTGTTGCAGGGTCGGACGCCGGGCCGGCCCCAGGTGGAGGAGGTGGGAGAAGGTCGCCTGGTACCGTCACCGTCGGAAGTCCATTTGCGTTGAGCAGCCTGTTGATAGTGTGGACGTATAGGTTGATGTCGTTGCCTGCCAATTTATCGGCGAGGTGTAGAAGTACCAGTAGGAGGGTGTTGTTGGTGGCAACTGCAGCAGCTTTCCCAGTGTTCTCGGGCAAGGCCGGGAAAGCAGACGTAGGCGGATTGGCTAACTGAGTTGAGGTGGTGCTTACCATCATCTTTTTTATTTCTTCCTGTCGGTCGGTGGAGACAGGTGAAACTGCAGTGTGCGGGCCATTGCAGAGTAGCCAGCGTCGGTGGGAGGATGTGCTGGCTGTGCAGTGATGCTCCTGGGTACAGATACTGCATTTCTGCACTTGCTCGGTGCACTTACTGGTGCAGTGGGAGTACCGGTAGCACTGGCGGAGCTCCGTGTATTGTTCCTTGGTCATGTGGGCAGGTGGAATCGTAATTCCGGCGCACTTAAGGCCGTGTTCTTTGGCGTGGGTCGCTGCGATGACCGTGGTGAAGGTCACTTTCAGTGTGGGTCTGCGAGTGT